TTTGCTACATTTTTAGACCTCGTTCACTTCGCGGATTAGAGTTTTCAATTTCAGTTGAGATGTGACATTTTCTGAGAGTTTTTCTCTGTAGCAGAAAAAGTTAGATGTGACATTTTCTGATAACTTTTTACTGTAAAAACATAAAATTGAAAATTCGAATCGGTGAAATGAACGAGGCCTAAAAAGTTCTTAAAAATAATCACATTTAACTTTTTTACTACAGTAAAAAATTTTCACATAAAATTACATCTCAACTCAAATTAAAAATCTGCATCAACGAACTATTGTTTCATCACAGGTAGTGAGAGGGTTCACCTTACAACTATGTATAGAAGAAATTAAATTTATATGAAAAGAGTAACGTTTAAGTATGCTTTGCTTTGGCGTCATAAAGGGGAAAAACTAAAAAGGGCTTATCAAATTGAGGAAAAGACAATAAAGAAAGGGATTAATTATCTAGGGATCAGAGGTGGGGAGGTTGGATTGGGTGTGGCGAGGGATAAGAGGATGGAGGTGGAGCCGCGGCTCGTATCTGATTTGAGGGGTGTCGAAGTGGGACCCAGACGCTGTGGGGGAAAATGACAGAGAGTAGGCCCCACCGCCGCAACCGCGCACATGATCCTACGTCGGATGGCTGCCAACTACGGCCCAAAAAGAGAGGAGTTGGTAGCGTGTGGGACACACACCTTTGCTTTTGCTGATCTTTCTTTCTAATCTTACTCATTGTTGTCCCACTTATCCCCACAAATTACGATCCTGCCATTCCTGATCCACGCTCTTGGGTTTCAGTAAACGCCTTTTGGTATTATTCCTTTCGAATTCCCATAAATTATTAGAACTACCTGCACAGAAGCCTATCATATGAGTTTCCTGATCCTGTGAGAAAAATGCCATTACATTCTGTATGCCTCCTTGAACTAGGATCTGAGATTTATAAATGAGTAATTATGAATCATTACTAATTTTCTTGACACAGTATTTTCTCTCACAGAAATTTAAATTTTAGTTTAAATTTTCCGTCCAAATTTAGAAAAAGAACAACCTTAATTAGTGCCGGGCAAAATAGGAATCAGATTTTAAAATTTCCCTTACAAGTTTTTGGATTAAGTTAATCCAAATTGAGGAAGTTTTTGTGGAAACAAGGAACAGACTGCCAGCTACTTGTTTATGATTGCTACCTTTTATTAGGACATGGATTCTTTGTTCTTACATTGTTCACTTTCTTTAACAAACGCAAACAAACATTTTTACCTCTAAAATAATCCCTCGAACTAATGACCATGTGATTGCATGGCGCTACACTAATTCTATGAGCCTTTTTTTTTTTTTTATTTATCAGATTTTACTTCGTCTGATAATTAATTTATTGAATTCAGCAAAAAAATGTTTATGCACAGTCATTAGTTTTAATATTTGAATGCAACAATTTAATTAACTGCTTCCAAATTCGTCCCAACTCCCAACCACGTGTTTAATTGTTTATGCCAAAAATATTGAATAATCGTGATATCATGCATGCAGAGAGAACTGCGTCCGGAGATTTTGTATTTTACACGTTAGACTCATTTTGTAATGACACCTGAAACTCTAGAAATGTATTAAACTCATATACATGACAAAAAAAAAAAAAAAAAAAATAAAAATTAAAAAAAAAAAAAAAAAAAAGAGGGAGAGGTTGAACAACTGTAGTGAGCGTGGCAGTCTGGCTCCAAACCGGACAACTAAACTGCTTTAAGAAAAGGGAAAAAAAATGAAATGAACAGGAACATCATGTAGGCAAACCTGAATTATTAATAGAGATGGGCCCCAATTTTTTGGCCATAATGTTTGGTATAACACATTTTTGTCACCAATATCCACTTGGGCACACTAGGATCCCAAAATTAGTTTGGATTGCAAGATGACTTCCCTACCAAACAAAAGAATATTTAAGTTAAGGTAATTATTTAGTAATTGAACCTCTGCTGTAAAGTCATTTGAGCAAGGAGGGTGGGAGGATCCAGACGAAAACCAAGAGGGACCCACCACAAAGTTGCTGCATGTGATGTTGGTGGAGGTTGAATCCATTAACAATTTAAGTTAGATCAATAATTAGCCTATTGATAGAGAGAGAGCCAATACACAATAATATTACTTTAGAAAAATAGTCTTTGCTATAACAATGTCTTTTGATATAGTAAGAGATGAGAGGAAAAATAAAAAAAAATAAATATCTTATAGAAGCTTCTGATGTCTCTACCTAACACCTTTGAAAAAAGAAAAAGAAAGAGGGGAAAAAAAAAAAAGTTGAAAAGTGACCCCCTTTTTATATGTGGGAAGGGCCATTGTTTTTTTCTGGATATGGTTTCAAAGTAGCTATCACCAATGTGTCCTCTTTCTCATACCCATCTATGTCTTCGATTGCTTTTTGGGAATGCAATTTACCTCTTTCTTCTTTGGGAGATTCTTCTTTAGCTATTTTGTCTTCCTCTTTATCATTTTTTTGTTTTTTTAAAATACCATTTTTAAAACTTAAATCTAACATTAGTTTGGTAATATCCGCCCTTTGTACTGTTATTGGTTTTTTTTTTATTTTATTTTAAATATTTACATTAGGTGGTTCATGGATTGAGACAAGACTAGTGTAAGGGCCGGGGCAATTAGATTGGCCGTTCTGGTATGACCCCAATGACATAACCATCAATTAATTGCTGGTAGATGAAATTCGGTTGTGGATATGACCCATTGACCTCAAAGTTGGTCAAATCATAATCTTGTGGGAAGTATGAGTGCTCTAAACTTATAAAACTTGGTAAACAATTTTAGATCTCAAACAAAATCACTATAAGGTATGAAAGATTTTGCATTGAGTGATTGAAACTGTTGAGATTTTGGTTGCGATCCGCAACATCTTTTTTATTTTATTTTAACAATATTATTTGTTCTTCTGGATTGATAGATTTTTTTTTTAATTAATAATATCCATCCATAACTGTATTTAGAATTACAAGCAACCACGGTGACTGATACAGCGTCACTGACTCCGTTTTCCACACATAATACATTTGTATTTTTTTGATTCCTACTTTCCAACTGAATTTTTGTTTGACATTCTGTTTCTGGTCGTATCTCGTATTTGGCCTATATGGAAAGATTATTAATCAAGTAGAATCAGAAGAAAAATACGTATGTCACGACCCTTTTATTTTCCTCGTTTTGTTTTATTTGATGAGCTGCTTTTTTTTTTTTTTTTTTTTTTTTGTGTGGTTTTTTTTTTTTTTTTTTTTTTTTTTTTTTGGTTGTGTGTCAAAGAACGCGGCGCGTATTTAAGCCTCAAGTGAACTAAAACGAAGAGAAGCTTATCGTGAATATGGTTTTAAGTAGCAAATGACCTTCCTAGTTCCCTCAAAGAAAAGGAAAAAAAAATCCAAAAGGAAAAAAGAAAAAAGAAAAAAAAAAGAAGCCGTCATTAAACAGTGAGCACAACAGGAGAAAAGGAAGGAAAGGAAAAGGAAAATACAAAAACAGTGAACGCGGAAGAAACAAATTTGACCAATTACTGAAGAAGTTGTTAAAACTGATTTTTGGGTGGTAAAATAATTGGGCAACAGGAAACGGGTCAAGTGGGGTTCATTGATATCCTATCAAGAAGAAGGAAATGAAGGTGGAGTTTGAAAAGACTCTACACTCTCAAGGAAAACCCTTAACAAGAGGCCTCTTTTCCTCTGTTAACTTGAGCATTCAATTTGCATATGCTGCCCCAAAACCAGTGGAATGTTTATATTTGATTTTAAATCATAATTAATAATTTTTTATAATATTTTTTTTATATTAAAAATATATATAAAATTAAAATAATTTTAAATTAAAATTTTAAATTTATAAATTAAACGTCGACTAAATTTATTGCGCAAACCAAAAGGGAATGGAAGCAGAGGAAAGAAACCTAGTTAGGGTTTTCTTTTCCAAATAAATGGTATGGTAGGTTGGCTCACAGTTCAGATTTTTAATGCTGGGAGTTTGGTAGAAGGACGGTACTAAGGACAGTTGTTAGTTTCTTCACGCTTTCTAAATAGTTTTTCTTCTTCTTCTCTTCGGTTTTTTTTTTTTATTTCTTTTCCTTAATTAAAGCATAAATAGGTTACCCACCACTCCCTCTTCCTCATTTCTCCTCCTCTTAGAGCTTATCCACTGCCCCCAAATGAAAATCAATACCCTTTTCAAGAAAAGACAAACCCAAAAAGAATCTGAAATTTTCAAAGCAAAATAAAATAAAATAAAAAAGAAGAAGAAGAAAGAAAGAAATAACCGTTAAATTATAGAAGAAAAGATAAGAGCATGTGATCCCAGCACAAAGAATAAACATATAATAAAATTTAATCGCGCAAACCTTTTTATTGGTCATACCAAAAAAACAAGGAAAGATTTCTTCTTTTGGAGGATCTCTAAGATCTCCAAGACTACTGTGTTCATGAAGTGAATCATTGTTTCTGTTCAAAAGAAAATATATATAAAGTCATCATTTGGTTTTTGAAAGAGAAATATGAAAAATCTCAATTCTCCACTTCTCCTTCCCTCCCCCACTATCCCTTCCAACAAGCCCTCTCGTACTCTCAGGTACTGAAAAGAGCCAGTGATTTAGTCTATTATACTCTACTGTTACTTTATATCTATCTCTGCTGATACCAACAATCTTCATAAAACACACTTGACGCTTTTTAACTTGCTAGGTCTCTGACAAAGCCCGACTTTCTGCTGGAAAGACTTGACAAAAACAGATGAAAGAAAAAGACTTTTTCTCTTTTTCATATTCATGATATTTGCTAAAACAAAAACGAAACCGATATGCTAAGGATTATAAAAACATTCACCAATAGTAAGCAAACTGTACTGGCACTATACTATTTTATAAACAAAAGAGTCGTACAATTAGAGGGGAAAAAAGAAGAAGGGAAGAGAAACTCATGAGAGCTTTAAAATGAATTAGCAATATTGTCTTCTTTTTTTTCTTTTTTTTTTTCTTTTTGGGGTCTAATTTCTCTCCATTCTGTTATGCTACACAAGACAAACCTTCCCCTTATACCCAATTCTTAATTATTTCATCTCCAAGCTTCTGTAATCCAAAACACCAGTTTTCAACCCCAAGAAATCATAACCAACACTAGTGCTTGCGCTGGTGCTATCAATGCTGGTAATTATTCCGCAGCGGCATTCTTTGCTGGTCTGCAACCCCAAACGGCAAGAAAAGCATAGGCCCCCTCCTCCACTCTTCAATTGCTCCGGCTGTTGTGGCTGATAAGGAGGGCTAATTCTAAGCTCAAGGTTCAAGTCCGGGCACTGTTCTTGAACCGGGTTTTTCACGTCTTTGCTCACAAATCCACCGTTGATCTTTTTCTCTTCTTCTTTAACAATAGTAGTAGGAGTAGTAGAGGCCGCAAACGATATTGTTGTGGTGGTTGGGGTGGTTGTTGTGTTGTCCTGAGCCGTCTCGTTGAGCAGCTTGTGTGTTGCCGGGTCAATACCTCTGTTCAAAAGCTTCCTCCTTATGTGGGTGTTCCAATAGTTCTTTATCTCATTGTCTGTTCTTCCCGGTAGTCTGCCAGCTATCAAAGACCATCTGTGGAAAAATTCAACAAAACCCATTACTATTTAGGAACTGATAAACATGTAATTGACTTAAAAACACTACCTTTTTTTTTTTTTTTTTTTTTTGGACTTACTTGTTTCCAAGAAGGCTATGGAGCTTAATGATTAGCTCGTCTTCTTCTTCTGTGAAGTTGCCTCGTTTAAGGTCAGGTCTGAGGTAGTTAATCCACCGCAGCCGGCAACTCTTGCCGCACCGGAGGAGACCGGCGGCTTTGGGAAGTGAGCGCCAACATCCCTCGCCGTGAGCTCTGATATAAGCAATGAGCCGATCATCTTCTTCTTTGGTCCATGCTCCTTTGTTTGTGTGAGCTTTCTCACAGCAAGGAGACCGTCCCATTTGAGTAGTAGTAGGATCACAAGCTGAACTTGTTGTTTGAAGATAACTTCTCTTCTCTTTCTTTTTCTATTCTTCCTTTTTTTTTTTTTCTTTTGCTTTTTAGCAGGAGCGGTGGGGGAACCGGTGGCCTTGTATTTTGTGTTGCTGGAACATTAAGGCCGGCCCTTGGGAGGACTTGGGATATGATTTTATAGGCTTTTGACTATACAACAGAGAGGGAGAGAGAGAGGGAGAGAGGGAGAGAGAGAGAGAAGAGAGAGGAGAGAGAGAGAGACTAATTGCTTCTAGATGCGAGTTGGTGAGACAGGTTAGAGGGAGTGGCTGGTGGCCTCTCTCACTTATGATATTAGCTTCAATCATATAATAAGTTAAAAGGACATTAACTACGGGTAACCTCTAGGTAGGTGTAAAGTAAGTATATTAAAGTACAGGCAAGACAATATGTGATTTCTGCCCTTTTTTTCTCTCTTTTTTCTTTTTTCTTTTTCTATATCTGTCTAATCTCTAGGCAAGTTTTAGATTAATAATTCTCAAAATCATCCCCAACTCTCTAGACAGGTGTACCACAGTACACGTAGAAAGCAAAGATTGGCCATGTTGGTCGAAGTAATGCTAATTAGGTTTAAGAAAGGTCTATTCCAATTTCTCCATGATAGAAAAACTTTTAATTGTGCTAGGCTAAGCTAGTCTAATTACTCTTCTAGAAGAATTAAGTTATGATTGTTCCGTAGCCTACTTCCATAACAGTGGCGGGTTTAATTTTTTTTTATACTGATTTTCCCTCATGTTAATTATGTTTTCTTGGCGAGTAATTGTGGATTGATGGCAGAGACTCAAGAAAATTAAAGTTTCAGGAGACATTTAGTTTATAGATTAGAATCATAAAATTAAAATTATTTTTAATTTATGTGTATTTTTTATAAGAGAAAATACTGTAACGAATTATGAACCATGATTCAAATCAGAGTATAAATTTTCTTACTAAACGTCAGCTTTAGATGAATTTAGCCGTTTCATGTAAGAAATTAGAATATGAATTTGTGATCAATTTAAAAAGTGTATTAAAATGATTGTACAAAAAGAAATAAGAATTTTTTGAGAATGTTGTTGGGAATACTTTTGAAAATGCCTTTTTGTATAATAAAAAAATGAAATTATATTTACTTACGTTTATGTAAGTCCTAAAGAATGAAAACGAATTTACAACTCTCTTTTTTTTTTTTTCTCACCCCCTTAACAAAAACGACACCGGTTCTAAACAATATCAACCGTTACATATCAACTAAACACTATATAGGATTTCCAAATTTGTTATCTCGAGAAAACGTGAAAAATAGTTATGAACAACCAAAAAAATAAAATAAAATAAAATCTCTCTTTTGCTTGTGTGGAAATACAAAACGTTGTTTATTTTAGTGAGTTAGTTGTAGTGGGCGTGTGGAAAAGAAAGCTTACAAGTGGTTTGGCTATTCTTGTGCACAAGAACAGGGATGGTAGTTCTGTTTTCTTTATTCTATTGGTAGCAAACAAATAGAGAGAGAGAGAGAGAGAGAGTTTCTAGAAGGATTGGAAGTTGGGTTCAAAGCAAGATGATGATGAAAGAAAAAGGAGAGAAAAAGAAAAAAAAAAGAAAAGAAAAAAGGGATAAATGAGTGTGGTTGTGGTTGTATTGTGGGCTTTGGTTCACCTTCCACTTTTCCTTTTTTTTCCCCCCGACCTTGTGGTGCAAGTTTTTTGGCAACAGGAGCAGAGGGGGGTTAGGGATGGGGAAGTTGATTCACCCTTTTTGTTGTTATCTCCGTCCAATTAGCATATTATTTGTTACCCACCACCACACATGCCAACGATCCCTCTCTCTCACTCACTCACTCACTCTATCATAAAAATCAAGTGGATGGTAGGAGTTAAAAGGATCATGGGCAGAAGTTGCTGTCAAAGGGGGACTCAGCAGAAAAAAAAAAAAAAAAAAAGTGGTCCACTTGTGTAATTATGTGCGTGTATTTCACCTACCTTTTCACCCCCTTTCTGACTGTCCTTGCACACCAGTCCTTCTCTTGCCTCACTTTGGTGTTGAACTATGGCAACATCTATGATTATGTATTATTAACTTTTCTTCAACAGCAACGAAAAAAAGGGATCGTTGTTTTTTTTTTTTTTTTAAACTATTTGTATATATATCACAACATTCTGAAAGAGAGAGGAAACAAAACTAATACTACTTTTGATTTATAGATTTATAATTATAATTTAAAATTATTTTTAATTTATATGTGTTTTTTATGAGAAAAAATACTATAATGAGTTACGAATTATGATTCAAACTATAGTACGGATCCTTACTTCAAACGCTTATTAAGAAAATAAATTACAGCTTCTCCTTGGATTAGCTATTGGATATATTTATTAATGGATTTTGAACATGTATTACGAAGTACGGATTCATTGATTCTTTCCCATTTCACAATCGGGTCGGCTTGTGTTGCACCTGTGATTAGAAAGCATAGTCTCTATCTCAACCAGCCTTGCTCTAGGGGAAAAAAAAAAAAAAATGCATACATAATCACATGGGCGTTTGGAAAGATGGAATAAAAATGGGGCAAAAAGGAACATATTTCTCGACGTAAATCTAGTTTAAGAGACATGATGGCATGGCTCTAGTTGTCTATTATCTGAATAAATAGTGAAGGCCAGCCCAGCAACACGTGTATGTCATGTGCTTAGGTGTTGAGGAAGAGCCGTGGGGGCAGTGTTTGGTAGTACAAATGACGCCTACCTACCTCTTTGCCTGTCTTCCAACTGTGGTCCTCCCTCTTCCCAACCTTTACCCAAAACTCTCTCTCTCTCTCTCTTATTGAAGTGCAAAATTTGATTTTGTTTGTTGATTTCTTGGCAGGTAATGCTTCGTGTCCTGCTTCTTTCAGTTTCATTTTCTTCCATTTGGTGCCATTAACAGAAATTTACACCATATCTTACTACCTTCTTCAGGCCGTCTTGTTAAGGATTTTTTGCTTATTTGTTATGACTGGAAAAGAGAATCAAGAACATGGCCTGCATAAAAGAGTTTTAATGGAATACCAATATTAGGTACCAAATATTAAAGTTTCAGCGGTTAAAAAAGAGAAGTCATAGTAACGTGTTGGCAAATACGCAAGTACATTCATATTAATAGATCAAAAGTTCGACAATAAAACTAAATTTTCGCGTCCCTAATGAAAGTGCAGTGTGCCCGTGCAGATGTCTTAACAGCTAACGTATACATATTTTGCCACAAGAAAACAATGAGACTCGATAAGAATTTATGTCCATACATTGGAATCTTTATTTCGAAGACCTGAAACTGTTGAATCGTAATTTCTAAATTCTACTGGCTCATCAAAGCTGCCAGGCTCAAAAGCAAAGGACCCTTGTAATTATTCTAATCCTTATATTGATATCTAGCTCTTGGCTCGCGTTACAATTCAAGGATTAATCCAGACGGGATTAAGAATGTCAATCAAGTCTATTTCTTTCTTTTGCGAACTTCGTAGAAATAGCTGAGGACCACCACTGCCGCAGCAACCGCAACCCCCACGGCGCTTTGTGCAAGTAGTATGCCATCGTTTACGTTTACTTTAGAGCTTGAGGAACTAGGAGTAAAGCCGAGCTCGGAAAGCTTCTTGTGTGATTCAGCATAGTCTCTGAAAAATGCATCCTCATCCTAATACAAGCCAAATTTTGCAAACCATATTAAAATGAACAGTAAGTACTGAGATTAAACGAAGCTAGATTGTTTTGTAAAGCAATAATCTCTAACCAGGAAACCAGGACTTGGCCAGAAATAGCACGTGCAATGGTACTATAAAAGCTAAACTCGCCCATATTTGACCCTAAATGACACAATTTATCTTACGGTTGTCATAAATACAGACCAAAAAGACCAACCTAAGATCGACATGCAGATCCTATTAATGCTACCTAAAAATGATAGAAATTGTTTTAAAAAATCAATAATTTCAGGGAAAAATAAAAAGAAGGTAAAAAAATCAATATTGTTCACAGAATTGGAAATCGAATTATTTAGGATATGTTCATTTCACAACTCAAGTCATAACTTGAGTGATGACTTGAGTTGTGTATGAGAGAAAAAAAAACTGTAGCAAAAAAATTGAATTTAAATTTTTGTGAGAAAAAATACTATAACAATAAAACTTAAATTGTGACTTGAGTTGTGAAATGAACATGTTAGCATGGTGGTCTGTTTGTGCGAAATACTTATCATCATTGTAATAAATGGTGGAACAGTTAGTGGTAGTTGGAAAGTCAGGGTTGGTCACATTTAAACCTTGGCTCCAAAAATGAGTTCTAACTCAAAACAGTAACAAGTAATCAGAAAAGAGATTTGATTTTCGAGCGGAAAGTGAAAGATGGCCCAAAAACAAGCCCACATATTACCTTTGCATACAGCTCAACGTAAGGACGGAACTTGGGATCATCCAAAAGAGCCTTGTCCGTTGGAAGTTTCAACAGCCCCTCTGAGTTCCCCTTCAGAAGTTCCCTGGAACCCCAACAAGTTCAATTGCATAGTTAAGACTGTGTTCATAAAAGGAAAAGAAAATAGGAAGGAAAGATTCATAATCTAGGTGAGGCAAGTGGAAAGAAAGGAAAAAACCTCTCTAAATATGTTTGAGGATTTTGGAATTCATTCCTTCGTCTAATCAATCCTAAACAACCATAAATCTTAAAAATACATAATCCTCCCATCCCTTTTCCTCGGCTTTATATTTATAGACACACACACACACACATATTATAGAGACATTATTATTTGGAAGTCTAAATTAGTCTTACACAAAGTATGAGTTATCAAACTTCAGGGGTTCCACAGTCCAAGGACCATCGAAACCAGATCTCTCTGGATGAGCCCTTCCCTACAAAACCAGAACAAATAGAAATGGAATGAATTCCGTCGTACTTGGACAAATGAACACCTTACATGGATGAAAACGGGAGAGAGAAATACCAGCGTATGGCCTCCTGATAGAGCAACAATATCCTTATCGGAAAGGCCCATTCGGTAAAAGATGTCCCTAAGATGTGGTGCACCTGCCATAGGAATTCCCGAAAATGAGTAAATAACCTTCACACTTGGTTACATGTAAATCATACACATGCAAACACAAAGAAAGTTGAGAACTTCCTCGTTGCACTGGCACATCATACAAATTTATAACAGCAATAAGAAACAGAGTGGGCATAAAGGTTTGCCAGGCAAAGTTGTGAATCATACAATTATAAAAAAAAAAAAAAAAAAAAAGGTGTGAATCATACAAATGCAAACACAAAGACATTAAGAACTTCCGTTGCATTGTCAAAGCAAAAGGAAAAAGGGTGGGATAAGGGTTTGCAAGCAAAGTTGTGACATATCCTTTGAACAACTTTAGTCTCACCTTCTATTTCACATCCTTCAAAAAAGTATCTCAATTAAAAACCTTGCTGCAGAGAAATGCCCTATAGACAATAAGTGAACTACAATGCTTATATTGACACTAAAACATGTGCATCTCAAACTCCCAGTAGCCTTTAAGCAGAAGAAAAGCACCCATGAATAGAAACCGTGACAGGATCCAATACCATTCCACAAGAATTAGAAGATACATCAATACAGACTTTGGAAGCGCGAGTATCAGAGAGTTTTCACAAAGAAAAAACAAAAACAAAAACAAAACAAAAAAGGACGTCTAGATAGTTGACACACCTTGTTTAGCATCTGGTAGTCGCCCTTCCTTGGGAGAAATTTTTGAATCCTAAGGAAAAGATCTTACAGTCAATGAGAAGGAGTCGTATTTAAAAAGTTATTCTCTAGAGAGAAATCATGATATACCTTTCTGCCAGGCACAAAAGCAACTGTGGGGCCTCCAGTGACCTCAACTGCAACGACACCAGCAAGCTGAACAACAAAATATCAACACTTAAAAGGCAGTTGTTTTTAGGTATTTTGGATGTATGTATAAATCATGAAATAACCTTTCTTGTGCTCAATAGTGGAAGCATTACAGAATCCAAGATATTATATGATTTTTTTTTAGCACAGTCCCTTCCCACCTTTTAACTGCACTACAAGTTACTATTCTCTTTTTGTTCAATAATCACGGACAATACGGCCTATAGCCCCTTCCCCTTTATCTGTTTTACCCACTATTAAGGTAGGGAGAAGAAAATAGTTAATAGGTTTTACCAGTAAATAAGTAAATCCAGAAGAGAAAGAGATAAGAAAGCATTTATCAATTGCACTTGCTCCACTTGAGCCTCTTTACAAGAGGAGGTTTAGTCAAGCTCTGAACCGGTTCAGGAATCTTTCCATTTGTTAGAAAGTGATTTTTAAAAAATTTTCTCAGTCCACATGAAGGATGTCGAGACCTTATCCAGTTATAGCTCCGAATAAGAAAATCAAATAAAGTTCCATTAAGAAATAGCTGAAAAGTTGGTTGTAGTTCGCAAGCATCGAACTAATCAGTAATCACCTGGTATAGATCTGCATATGTAATTCTTGGATGTTTGGACTTCACTTCCTCTGACATCAGGAAAAAAAGAAAAAATAACTAAATAAAACAAACTACTAATAGATAGAAGTGAAAAAGACCCATTTTAAAAATAAGAACGCAAACAAAAACCAGTTTAAGCGTATGTCAAATTTTAAAGCCTTCAAATTAAGAAGTTTGTAATCAATCAGTGCCCTTAAAATGCAAATGTCTATGCATGATGCTTACAATTCTCAAGTGAACACATAATGGGCTAGTGAAGGCAAAAAATAGAGAAACGCTACAGTCAACAGATTGTAACTGTACATCATTTCAAGATGTGGAGCCTAAAATTGCTGACGTACAGCACGTGGATTGGTTGCCTAAGTTCCTCTTATATAAAGGGGGTGCCAATTTTAGGGTTTAATTATACAGGTCGGAGAAACCATAGAGAGTTGAGAGGTGTGTGATTTTCACTAGTAAACTTCTTCATCACTGAACTTTTGCGGCCAGATCTCACATTGAGGAGGAACCACAAGAAATCTTGTGTGTTCTTATTTTTACTTTTCTTCTATGATTTTATGGCTCTCGATAGCATAGAATTACGGGCATCTAATTCTTAATACATAACAGGTCACACAATTGCTAATAAAAAAGATCCTGCTCCATCTTCGGTAGATAAAAGCTAGAGGTGATCCTCTTAGGCTACAAACCAATCAACAACACTTTTAACCTTACTGTTGCTGATAACACTATAACTAAAGTCATTCATCTGCTACAGACTCCAACTACTTCCTTTAGATCCCAGTTACTCTACCAGTTTTACTTGCAAACCAAACTAACAGTGACATAAACCAACTACAGCACGCTCATGTAACAATCACTTATACTTGATTCGCTGATACAGATAATCGCTAATAGCAGCTAATGCAAAACAAAAATCAAGTTAAATTAATTTAAATTGAGTACCGCAAAAATCGATAGCTTTCTTCAAGCCGCTGTTGGAGCCGTGAGAGTACTCTTCCTCATTCCTGATGGAGCCATTTGGTCCTCCGGTTTTCAGTTTCGCATCGTAAGTTCCGGCATCGTGCCACCTGTAAAGCCACAGATGTTTCAGAAACAAAGTTAATCATATACGATCTTTTTTATTGTTCTTTTGAGTTCTTTTTTCTTGCACTTTCCCGGGAACCAAACAGAAAGAGAGAGACAGAAGTTACGCTAATCGGAGCATGAGTGGCGCACAGTTTCTGGAGGAGATGAGAGCGCGGAGATGGCGACGAGCCTTGTCGATGTCCTTGAGGTACTCAGCGTCCACCACCGGAAAAGCCATCGGAACCAAACCTCAAATGAACTCTGACTTGTGAGGTTTTTTTTTTTTTTTTTTCCCTAAGCTGAAAAACACCGTGACTGGTTGCTAAATATAATCGCAATTGATTACGGAAAATTACAGCCACATTCGAGTTTGGAATTTCGATTGGCGTCACGCACGCGCTCGCCACGTGTCAGATATAAAGGGTCATCTACCGGCTAAATTTGATACTTTTTGCTTGTAATTTTTATTTTTATTTTCTTTGCTAATAAGACATACATTGAAATTGATCCAAATTGCTCATCCGGTCCGTTTGAGTACGTAATACATTACTGTAGGATAGGATTTTCATCACCACTATAAGATAATTTATATTTTTTTAGTAGCAGTCATTAGTGTTTCTTTATCGGGATTGAAAATTTACCGGGTTATTTTTTTTATATTTTTGAGTTAAAATAATTTGAGTGATGATTTTGAATTATAATTTAAGTTAAAATTGTAATTTAAATTTGTGTTTAGATGTGCATATTTAAGTTATGATTTGAATTGAGAATCTTTTTGAATTTGTGTTTGAGTGGGTCAAAATTTAAATTTGTATTTAGATAGTATTTTAATAAAAACTCAATAGTGATGAAAAATCAGTAGAATTTTATTCGTCTTTTCGTTGTGAATGCATAAAAAATCATCTCAATCAGAATTAAAATGAAAAAGTTATGATATTTTTAAGAATGAAAAAAATATTATTTATTAACTTGAGTTCGAGTTTATAAACTCGAGTTGAAGAAAAAATTTCAACTCGAGTTTAGCCTCAAACTCGAGTTTAAACTCAAGTTTTATAAAAGAACATGAACTTGAATAAAATTGTAACTCGAATTCAAACTTTTTTTGAATTTCGTTGAAAAAAACAATCCCCACATCACCATAGGTATATGGATTTACAAAAATGATATTCATCTCTTTGCAAATAAAACCGCATCACTCATAAATTCGTAAGTCTCATAAAATGGTGGGTCACACAACGTAAAACTCGGACTCTTATATGAGTAGGTGGTTGAATATGAGTGCTCATAGATTCAACGTTAACCTTGACCCATGCCTGCAACTAGTTAGAAAACCAAATTTTTTTGCTGATCAGTTAGAAAACCAATTTAAATGGCTGGACTAATCGCCATTGAACTTTATGGAAAATATCCAAGAGTATTGGTTTTGCAATTAGTTTCCGCTATTGCAATAATATACACGAAAATAACAAACAAATAAACGTATTCCGGAGACAGCAGTGCCCCAAAAAAGAAACAAAAAATCCTTTTTTCTCAAAAGCAATATCCTAGAAACAAGAGAGAGAGTGGTGTGCTCATCATGAATCATGATGAAGTTCTCCATTGCAGCTCAATTTGAATTCGGCCATTCTTGGAGTCTATAAGATGGTACTTCTCGTTGATTCGCTTGTTGGCCACAACATCTGAAAGATGGATGTCCACATAACCCAGACATTCCTAATTCACAAAAAATAAAATAAATGAATAAAGAAAATAAAATAACAGTTACGGAGTACCCAAAGAAAACAGAAACAACAATGCCGTCATATGCATAACACTTCTAAGCACCCAGCGAATTGGTCCTTTACTAAAAGTTGCTATGATTTGTATTAATACAATTTATGACAATCTTGATGAGACCAAAAAAAAAAAAAAAAAAAAAAAAACTTTAAGCCATAATTTTAGCAGCGAATTGCCTAAATTCGACACAAAGTAATAGCGTTAATGATTAACCTATGATTGACCAAGAGGAATGAAAAGTTCATGTTAATGATCTGTGTTTCAGTTCTGTCAACTAAAAAAAGGGTCTCGATGTCTAACCTTTGGATGCAGCAGGCCGATTCTTGACGAGGTACTGATGACTTCCACGTGTAGTCTGTCTTTAACGGGAGGCTCATCAAGCATAAACTGGAACTCGTCTTCCCATCTAGGATCTCTGTTTTTCTTCACAGGCTGCGTAGCAGTATCAAAACAAGTCCAAAATTGTTATTTACACAGCACACAACAACCAATCTTAAAATCTGAAAGTTTATGAACATCTATTGATTGTCTTGGAAACTACTAGTCTCATACTATCAATTGACATTTATCAATACCTTATCACTGTGAGTTTCCTTACTTGCACTGATCGTACACAATGAGCAAAAAATTTAAAAGAAATTAAATCGCAATTTTTTAAAGCACAAGAAGAATTGCCAAAAGCTAGGAAGCTAGATATTTCATATGACCGATCTCATCACTTTTTCTTTTTTATACATATACATATAACCTGATTTTTCAGTTTATTGAGTATTACTATATTTCACATTCATTAAGAGGTAGCAAAGACTGGCCATGGCCAGATCAAGAAGAGAGCAACTACAACCAGTTTATTGCAGTCCGGAATATCCAAATTTATAGACTGGAAACTTTAGGAGGCAAGTAGCTTAAATGGTATCTATCTTCATACCTTAGTCCTTTTTTCCTCCCCTCTGAAAAGAATCCGGACATGTGGATTAGTATGATGCTTTCCTTCAACGTCTTGAGCTTCATGAACTATGACGACGAGAAGACCTCCACTGGCAGGTGTTCCATCAGGAGCCTTCTGTACAGTCTGACCCTCTTCAATGCCTTTTGGTATTTCCTCCTCCTTGAAAGGCTTGTATAGTAATTCAACAACAAGTTGCCCACGCAATTTCTCGTTTTGAACATCATTCAAGTCCATATTTTTAAGGAGGTCAAGAGTCAGAACTTTTGGCTCTTCAGCAGGAATGCAAGCAGGAATGTCTTTTAGAGGGACTACATTCATACCCATTTTGTCATCTTTGCCAACCTAAAAGAAGATAAAATCAGATTCATATTTAAAAAATATAAACAGAGAAAACAAATTTTTACGGGTGAATCCGAATAAAATACCTGCTCCCAGTCAAAAACAAGAAGCTCTAAAGCCTGGCTTTGTGGATCTTTAACAACCATGTTAAATTCCTCGTTCCACTCAGGATTCAAGTTCTTGTGCTTGACAGTAGTCTTCTTTGACGGAAGCTTATCCTCAGTTAGCTTCAATTTAACATAAGGGTCAGATGCACCAAGAAGATCTTTCTTTTTTAGCTTCATTGCCCTTAGGACCTTTACATGCAAAATTCCTACAGGCCTCTTCATTGCTCTACAATATCAAGTAATTTGTATAAGCCACATCATAGAAGCAACTTTGTCATAAATAAAATTTCAGGATAATCCAGAAACCTACTTCACTGGGTCGATTATTGGCACTTCAAGGGTTTTGGGCCACAGATACATGTTAGCAACCTGATCCTTGATGAGCTCCTGCAGGAAAAACATAATCATCGATCACTGCATTTCTAACAGTTGAAACAAAACTTCTTCGACAGTCAAGGAACTCAATCCCATTAAAAGAATATAATCTTACATCCCAACTCCTCCGGCAATGGAAAGGAAGAGAGAAGGAGATTGAAGGATGGAAGAAGCAGTAAGCAGAAAGCATGTGAGATACGAAGATCAAAAAGATAATATATTATTGTACCTGTACAAATCTGTAAAGGCCGGGTATTGACATCAGATCAGCCCCTACAAGCTTTAACCCAAAATCAACATGTGGCTGCAAAACCAACAATGGCGTAAATCAAAAAGATAATTAAAAATTTTCCTGACTTTCTCGAAATGCAACCCAACCAAGAATATTTCCAGTTAATAGCAAATGATGGCATCAAAATCAGAATCTTCCGCAACTAAAAAAATATATGGAGTGAAACATATCGGTAAAGGCCTAAAGGGTATACAAATCTTGTACATTTTCAAGTATCAATACATCAAAAAACTGACTGATGATAAACTTGGCCCTTGGGCACAAAAAAATACAGGTCACCAAGATTACCGACCTTCTCCATTAGAGAGACAAGTATCTTTGCAAAACAAGGAAAGCTTGGAACCAATGGCTTTAGAGTGATACGTGGAGAGGCAAAAACTTGTAAATCCACCACCTGAAAATAAAGACCATAATGCATTAACAGGCAGAAACTCTCTCTCTCTCTCTCTATCATTAGCATAAACTAAAATAACACAGAAATGGTCATACAAAACACAGAACAACCGATGACCTGAACAGTTGCTTTTAATCCAAATGCTTTTACAGCAACAAGGATATTAGGATTTCCAGCCCATTTAATGGAAGGCTCCATGATCAACTCCTTCTCATCCGTGGAGTACACTTTCATACCTGGAAAAGATAAATTTCACGGGAAAAAAAATTATCTAGAAGTGTCATGATCCAAATGCACTTTTTTTTTTGCTGGAAAATGATCCAAATGCACTTAAACCTAACAACACACAGAAGCTTACGCCTTACAAGTATAGAAAACCATAAAAATATACTTAAACGTATTTCCTAACCTTGGAAAGTTGGCGGCAACGACCCCAAAGTGAGTTCTTCAAATTCAACAGACTCAATCTTATATTTAGGAATTTGCTCTGCAATTATGGGCTTCACAATATTCTTTACAGTCTTGCAAATTGCCTATGCAAAAGGTGGGGAGAAAAACAGATTGATAAACCAAAAAAACTATCAACAATTGATGAGAAGCGACAATCAAGAGATGCTGTCATATATTAGACGTTACCTTGTCAAGATAAGGCCACATATTCAGAATAAACTTGTTCAGCCAATCAACCTTCACCCAGAAACAAAAGCAAAAACAATTGAAATATCAGAAAATAATTTTTCCAGGACACAAGATAATATAAAAACGAAAAGAACTACCATACACGATCATAATCTGGACTTTTCACCCAAAGTGGAATCTCAGGCATTAGTCGCTGCAAAGTTTCAGAGTCTTGCTCAACCAAAGGACGAATTACAGGATCCTGACCAGTCCAAAATGCAAACAATTAGTTAAACTTCAATTTCTAAACACTTCTCCAAAACTAACAAATTTAAGATATACTCATATGTGTGTGTGTGTGCACAAAATAGTCTAGTTTACAGTCACGAATCCATACATATACTCTAAGGAGGCTAACAATTTAAGATGAATTTTGATCTTCCAGAATAGATTAAAATTGTATCTTCTTACAATTTTTTTTTCTTTCAAGTAAAGGTTCATTTCTTCACTTTTCAATTCCTCCCGAACCAAACAGACAATTAAATCCAAAATTAAGGCGAACAGATATAAATAAAAAAGGAATAGAAATGCGAGAGCAAGAGAGAAAGACCTTGACATCGGTTGGCTGGAAGTAGATGAAGAGGAAATAGCCAGCAACGAGGCCGATAGAAATCCCAACTCCAAATCCGAAAAATCCCAACACAGTACTGAAAAACCCCATCTCCGATTGATTTTCCCAACTCCGATTCCCGCAATCCAAACAGAACTCGAGACTCTCTTCAAATCACGCTTCTCTCTCTTTCTCTTTTAACTTTCGATCAGAATTGTTCCAGAAATCTCATATTCACGAATCCCTCGATTTCTCCTCAGATCACCATTCCAAGGATAATACTAAAATAAACCAAATGATCAGGAATATATATATATATATATCTATAATCAAACAAAAATAGTAAAATAATTGTCCTTGTCGACCATTTGGAAAGATCCGTGGAGAGGGAGAAATTAGAGAGAGGTGAACAGTTCTCAGCAATTAAAGACAGCGACGGATGAACGACGCAAAGCATCGAATTAATTATTTTAATTTTAATTTTAAAAAATAAATTAAATCGAATAAACATTTTTCTTTTTTTCACTGTAAGCTCTTTCTTTGCGCGCGTGTTTGAGAAGTAAAACACGTTATTCCTTCCTTAATCCTTCCTTTCTTCATAAAACATATATATATATATATATATTGAATTTTCTCCACTAAAGTACAAACTTTTTATCTCCTTAATAATAAATTGAATTGAAAGTGACCATAAATAAATTGTCCATCATTACGACGTTTTAACCCCCGTATCTGTTGATGTAATCCTTCGCCTTAATTGATTTTAATGTCGGTGGCTCCTGAGCTGCCATTTTAAGAACTTTTCCATATCTATCCAAGAGTCTCTTTAATTTTTACGTTTAAATTAATAATTTTTAATTTTAATATTTTAAATTTAAATTTTTTATAAAAAAAATATTATAATATAATTAAAAATATGAATTTAAACGTATAAAATAAATGAATTTTAAATAATAATAATAAATAAAAAGAGAAAAAATAAAATTTACTTTTTAAGGAAAGACCGAAAGGGCAAAGCAGTATATGATATCTTATTGATGCAAGACTTCTGATATTTGGTGACCACAACTATAGCAATATGCCACGTGGCATTTCGGGTGGGGTTTTCATCTTTAGTACGTAGGATTTTTCTTTCTTTTCTTTTTTTAACCAATATACATAAGTAGTAATTCTTAAGGTCCGTTTAGTTCGCTGATTTGAATTTTTAATTTGAATTGAGATGTGATTTTATATGAAAATTGTAATAAAAATATTAAATGTAATTATTTTTAAGAGTTTTTTTTATAATAAAACTTAAATTATAACTCAAATCGGTAAAATAAACAGGGTCTTAAAAAAATCAATAATTATTTAGCCAAAAAAAATAATAGCCAAAAATTGTTTCCAAATTTTTATAGTTATTTTTTTATTTCGATTTTTGTATATTTCACAAATATTTGCCACGTCTCCGCTTTTTTGGACACAATGTTATTCTTCTGACACGTATTGGGTCCCTGGTCGGCTTTTTCGTAAGAAGGCTCCTGGTGGGTTTGGATACGGGCCCATTTGGATTTTAACTGTCATCGCCAACCCACATGGTCATGTCAACAAAATTACTTGACAACCCTTTTTTCTTGATCTTCGTTAAAGTCGTTACGCTGTATGTGGGGGACATTTTTGGCTTTTTCAAGGAGGAACTATTTCTTACTTTTTAAGTTTTCTATTTATTTTATTTTTGCCGTCCCACCTTAACTTTCGTGTCGAGTTTGCCGACAATGGAAGTCAAAGTGGATAACGCTTTTTTTTTTTTTTTTTAGAGGATGCATTCATTTGTAATTTTTTATAACTAATAAATCTTTCAAAATAAATAGTGGTATATAAAGTTTAAAAAATAATGGTGACTTTAGAAAAGCTGGCTTTATATTTTTTTTTTGCACGTTGAAAATTGCTTCACATTGTATAGTATTTTCTAACATGGCATGATGACTTATTAGGTCGTCCTCGGGCAATAAGTTATGAATAAGGAACTAAATTTTAAGAATGACAATACGGGTCATGACACGACAACACGAATCGAAATCGACACGAAAATTACGGATTAAGGTTGAGAAAAATGGGGTGCGGGTCAGAATCGGGTCGACTCAAAATTGACACGAACAAAACGGGTCAATTCCGGGTATGACTCGCAATTCAATTTCGTGTTAATTTCAGGTTCAAACCCAACACTAACCCATAGTGACCCGTAGAAAATATATATATATATAATATAACATTACGTACTAAACAACTAGCACACCTCTTTCTTCACATCTCTGTCCTAATTTCACTCTGCGCCTCTTCTTCTTCTTCTTCATATATATATATATATTATAACATTACATGCTAAACAACTAGCACGCCTCTTTCTTTTCATCTCTGCCATAGTTTCACTCTGTGCCTCTTTCACCTCTACGCCTCTTTCTTCTTCTTCTTCTTCTCTTGAAATAGCGACGCTGCCGCCTGCCCTCAAATTTTCACATCTCCCTCATTTCATCTCAGCTGCTGCCTGCCCTCAAATTTCCACAGTGAGTTTTCAGATTTGGAGCAACTTTATCTCAAAATAGCGACAAGGTAAGTTATATTCTTCTATTTTTTTCTTTTGTTTTGTTTTTCTTCTTGGTTCCATTAGAAAATGTTTGGTGCACACACATTACCAAACCAGTTTCCTTAGAAGCACCGAGGAGTAACTTGCAATAAACATGGGATATTGTCTCTGTTTTTTTTTTATAGAAAATGATTAAACAATGCTCACGACTTTGGTGTCTGAATAAGCTAGCTTGCTTAACTTGTAGTCTACAAAAGTTAAACAATGCTCACGATGGGTTATTAACATAATTTAAATTTGGTTGGAGTTTGATGTAAACCCATAAATGAACATTGAACTCTAATGCCAATGCAAACAACAAGGTCTGAAACCTTTGGCTTCTCTGATCGTGAGAGAACACCCCATGTTAGATTGGGACTGGATCTTGTAGGGGACTTAATTGTACATTTACTCATGATGTATATTTACACTCAAGATATGAATTATCCAAAAGGTTTTGTTTTCAGTAGTTAAATATGTAAAAAAAAAAGACTTCTTTTTACGGTATAACTTGAAAAAACACACTATCGATCGTGCTCTACTTCTTTTTACTAATGTTTTATATTTTTTTTTTCAAGAATTTGATGATGTTTCCAGTGATTTGTTTTATGCTTCAAACCAAAAATCACAGTTTGAATTGTATTTGGACGAGCCTAGAATAAAACGGAGTTATCAGTTGGATATTCTCTCCTATTGGAAGACAAATAAGTGCCGCTACCCAATTCTTGCTGCCATGGCCCGTGATTTATTATGTATTCATGTATCAACAGTTGCTTCAAAGGCTGCATTTAGTGTTGGTGGTCGTGTGCTTGATCAGTTTCGTAGCTCTCTTAAACATGAGACTGTTGAAGCAATTATATGTACAGGAGATTGGTCGTATGGAAATGAAGGTATATTCTTCAAGTTCTTCATTGTTCTCTTAAATATTGTTACTCTCAGTCTCACAAATGCTAATCGGTAACTCTTTTTCCTAGATGGATTCAAAGTACTTAATGAAGATATGGAGGAGCTCATCAACAATGTGATTGATCTTAACATATATAAAGAAAAAAACTGTTAACCAAGCTTCTAACTCCGGATGCGCTTGAATTTGATTTTTATTATGGTTGTGTAATGTATTTTTTTTTTTTCTACTTCATCTGAACTATGTGGTTTTAAGACTTTGTTATGCATGTTTCATTTCATGTGATGTTTTTTTTTGCATCATGGACCTCTTTTGCATCAATGTGGTTGTGTAATGTTGTTGCTGGAACTTTATTATCTAGATCTAGGTTTGGACTTTGGTGTTGGAACTTTATTATCTATGCTTGGACTTTGGTACTTTGTTAAGATGTTTACAAAATGGACTGAAATCTACAATTTCGGTTCAACAGGTTCGTGTCGTGTCTCGGGTTCGCGGGTCAATTCGTGTCGCGTGTCACTTTTGGTTCGTGTCGTGTCAACCCGCAACCTGACCATGTTGTGTTCGTGTCACGGTTCTCAATTATTTTCGTGTCACGGGTCACATGAAAAAAAATTTGACACGGTACAAACACGACACGAACACGACACGCGACACGAATTGACACCCCTACTAAATTTCAATCCTTTGTACCATTTTTTTGATAAGAATTTATTTACTCCGACTCATTCAAATAAGTTCGCACATGCAAATTTAATCTATATCGGTAGTTGCGAGTTTAGGTTAGCTCAAGCGATTAGGTTTGTGAGTGTGTGCATGTGTCTACTAATATTTAAATCGTTATGATTTTAACATCGTTCATTTTATCGATTTGAGTTTTCAGTTTTAAGTTTTTACAGTTAAAAGTTCTAAAAAAATATCACATCTCAACTTGAATTGAAAACTCGAATTCACAAAGCGAACGAAGCCTTTATCTTTTAGAGAAAAATATTAGTTTGTCACGGTTTTATGGATACCTATTATTTATGTAATTCTTAATAATTAGGTGTCATTTTAACATTTTATTTTATTTTTATTAATTGAATGAAAATTGTTTATGTTTTAAGTAGAGTAGTATATATAATACTCTTTACCATCTTTATGTTTTTTCTCCTATTTTTTAAATAAAATAAGAATTATAAACCCCACGTCGTATTTAAAAAAAAAAATCTCTAGAGGCAAATTGCCATCTTATTTTATTTTATTTTTGAGAATAATTGCCATCTTATATTTGAGGCATGAACAATAATCAAAAGCATCTCTAATTATTATTATTATTATTTTCAATTACAGGTCAAACATTAAAACATTAATATTAATAATACAAATAATTGAAGCATAAATCTGAATTTTACTCTATAATTATTTAATTAAAAAGAATATTAATTAAACATAGTAGGTAAAAATCAAGATCTATTTTAATTAGGAAAAAGTGGACAAAAATTTTTTTGATCTGGTTTTGGAACCCACGAGCAATAGATACAAGGATATACCCATGTTTCTCCACTTGGCCCAAAAACCAAAAGCCCTTATCCACTTTCCCATCTTTACTTTTTTTTTTTTTTTTTTGCTGTCCTTGGAACAAAAAGAAATCGTAGGAAATATATATTTTTTGTAATCATTATGGCACCATGCGGCATTTACCATAATTAGTGGTAAAACGACACTTTTAGTTGTAAAAGATAAATAAATGTTTCTTTTCTTATTCCTCTAATAGATCTAGACATCTAGTATGCTACTAATCAATCTTTACATTTTATTTTAATATGTGCTTTCAGAAGAGTACACTTGCAAGAAGGAAGTTTGAGTTTGATGTAAGTAGCTCAAATATCCTACGCTTTATAGTAGTTATCAACAATTTTTACATCTTCTACTACGGGTGGGGGTGACATTTTTTTGAACACGACTTAAAAGTTCTATTAGGGGTTTTATAAATAAGAAAATGCAAAGTATCCTTAAAAAAAAATAAAAAGAGAACCCATTTTCCATGAAAATAAATATAAAATTTAGGAATGACATGAATTGCAAAATCATGTCTTTGTTTAAATACGTGTTTTGTTTATGGAAAATAGTGGAAAATAGTAGAAAATAGGCCAATATGAAAACCTTAAGAAAGTATATAGACTAATTTTTAGTTATAGAAATTAATAGGCCATAACTTGTCAAGTTATGGTTCATAACCAGATAAGTTATGGATAAACTTGTCAAGTTATGGTTCATAACCAGACAAGTTATGGACAAAAACCGTGAATAACTTGTCAAGTTATGGTTCATAACCAGACAAGTTACGGATGAAAACAGTAATTTGGCCTATTTATTAACTTATGTAAACTATTGGCCTATTAATTTCAATTAATCTCAAGTCTTGGCTTATTTCCCTATTTGTCCCTTTGTTTATTTGAAATGATTAGTTATATTCTAGTTTTAGATGTGGAAACGTTAAATAGAGTTTGGGCTGGACTTTTTTTTTTTTTTTTTTTTTTTTTTTTTTTTTGAGGTGGGGAGGGGATCCGAACACTTCGGGTTAGGTAGGTGAGGGTGTGGTTTAGTGACTTGGTATACCAATTAGTGTTTAATCCATCACAATGAGACACATCATTTAATAAATCTAAATATTAAAACAAAAAAAAAGTTATTTAAAAAGATATTCTAATTTCTTAAATGATGTGGCATAATCTGATTGATTATACATTATTATAGATACCGAAATTAGACAGATGATTTGAATCCGTGATTTAATAGATCGATGTTTTATGAGTTTTTTATGGTAAAAAAACGAGAACTTTAAAATCTTAAACTTATTCAAATGCTATAATAACAAATATACAATAAAATAAAAATAATAACAAAGAGTTAAAGTTCATAAATTTTAATTTGGTAAGTTCGATCCGCCAACGAATTATTTAAAACCGCAGTAGAGTTGTAAGTTAAGACCGGGCTAAAGGAGCCTACTTGAGGCCCGTCACTATTGGCCCGACCCTAACCTGACCTTAAATTGTTTTAGACTTAGGGCCGGGTTGGGGCTGACGTCATATCCTTTAGGAACGGTTCGGCTTGGCCCAAACATCATATTCTTAAAGATTTTTTTTTATAAATATTTTATTAAATTATGGACCAGTTCAACTTGAAATTTCCCTTCAGACTGCCGAGCCCGAGTTGAATGACCCAAGCTTACGCATCTAAACCGCAGACAGAAGACTTTTTAGCCAGCACCGGGGCACATAATAGAACCGGTGATGTGTGGTCTTGTTTTAATGGGCATGTGTGGGCGGATCAGAGAGTTTTTGTTCATGCCCTTGGGCCTCATGGCTGTTGGGATGTCACACCGCCTGGGCTGGACCAATGCGCCAATCAATGTCTGTGAAAGCTCCTCCGTCGCAGTCTACAGTCTACACTTCGAGGAAGAGTCAATTTACCCACCTTTTTTATACCTTAGTTAATATTTGACTGTTTAATGTCGTTTTGAACTTTTGAGAGAGAACAGATTAAAGCCCTGGGAATATTTGACGAGCATTGTGAGATTTCATAGTACATTGGTTTATTACTCTTACTATACCAGCTAAATGTACAATCATGTTTTCTCACTTATATTTTCTGGAGCGTACACATCGAATTAGAATATAATGCAAAAAGAATGGCAAGAGAGAGAAAACAAGAGAGATTTGTAAATTTGAAAAGCTTGGATTCGTTTGGTATGAGAATTTATAGCATGGTGATTCTAATCATGATTCTAAAACCAGAACCATGATTCATGATTTTGAGTTCAAATTATGATTCTGAAATCGTGATTCAGAATCAGGAGTTTGAATCACCTTGAATCAAGAGGGGGGTGGTTTTAGAATCACGAGTGCTTCTGGTTTAAAACATCACATCAGATTCTGAATCATAATTCAGAATCATCCAAACCAAACACTGATTCTGAATCATGATTCATAATCAGCCCGTTTGGTAAAGGGATTCGTTCTCTGATTCGAATCATGATTCGTGGTTCGCTACAGTATTTTCTCTCATAAAAAATACACGTAAATCGAAAATGGTTCTAATCACATGGTTCTAATCCATGAACCAAAAATTTTGAACCAGGATCCAAAATCATAATTCTGAATCTATCTACCAAACGAACCTTAAAAAGAGAGGATAATACTTGCCCTACTACTTAGATGTTAACGTTGAGCATAACCTTATATAGATATATCTTATAATAAACATGTCTTAAGACCTTTTTAATTTCAAAAGATTAAAAAACAAACACGTTACCCCTAAAAAAAAATTATTTTACCAAACTGGCTCGCATTAACTTCGGATATATCACATTTCGTGAGATAAACTTTGGATTAAGCAATAATTTGTGTTTTTTTTAAAAGAAAATTGCACTTTTACAATTTTTGTGCCTCAAGAAAATTTAAATCCTTCTCAGTTCTGTTTTGTCCTTAACAATTTTAAAATTCACAATGGAAAATAGTTCTATCCATCATTTTTTCTTATTAAATTACTATATATACACACGTATTTATTTTGATATTATTGTTTATAATGAAGATCTTATCAATTTTTAAGTCATAACAAAGCTTTTCGCTATTTAAATCCCAACGCAATATCAATTACATGTGTTTATTATAGATGTTGTTGACGGTCAAATTTCACTAACAAAAAACCGACCGGATTACCTCTTGGTTTCCCTTCGGATTACCGGCCGCGTGTGTGTAGTTTAACGTATGTGGATTTATTGAACATGTGTGTGTGTTTGTAAGTTAACTAAATCATACACATGCAAATGACACAAGGAGTTTTTATAGTGGTTCACTCTATAAAATGAGAGCTACATCCACTGTAATTTTGTATATCTTTGTTAGAAGATCACAACTTACAATCATAATTCTTATTAAATTTGTTCTTCCCTTGTTATTCTCTCGAACCCCTTCCTTACTGGGGTCTTCCTCTTTTATATTGGGCTTCCTTCGCTTAGGGGTTTCCTTCATAGGTAGAGGCACTCAAGTGCTGTCCTCTGGTAGGCCCAGACGTAGCCCACTAATCAGCACTGTTCACTCAGCCAATTAGTCTCCCATTACGGCTCTGTGCTTTCCCGTAATACTTTTCTATCCCCTGTGGGGGCGGTCTGACAGCTTACAATTAATGCCTGCAGACCTCTTCCATTTCTGCACGTAACCCATTACGTCCTCTAAAGGACGTTCCCCTCGTCGTCAGCACTGCTTAGCTCAACCGCCTTCTTCGGTGGCCCCTTTCTGCAGTCGAGAGATCTTCATCCCTTAGTGTCGACGGCGCAATCAGTCGACGCCATAAGGGATCGTCGCCCGGACTTGGACTTCGTCCTTGGGCCTTCGTAGTGAAATAGGAGGGGTCCGTAAGCGTCGAGGGTTCCTTGCTTGGTGGGGATTTAGTCAAGATCACGTGTCGCGGTCTATTTCGTCCACGTGTCCGTCACATTTTCCCACACAACAGATTTGTTGAACATGTGTGTGTGTTTGTAAGTTAACTAAATCATACACATGCAAATGACACAAGGAGTTTTTATAGTGGTTCACTCTATAAAATGAGAGCTACATCTACTGTAATTTTGTATATCTTTGTTGGAAGATCACAACTTACAATCATAATTCTTATTAAATTTGTTCTTCCCTTGTTATTCTCTCGAACCCCTTCCTTACTGGGGTCTTCCTCTTTTTATATTGGGCTTCCTTCGCTTAAGAGATTTCCTTCATAGGTAGAGGCACTCAAGTGCTATCCTCTGATAGGCCCAGACGTAGCCCACTAATCAGCATTGTTCACTCAGCCAATTAGTCTTCCATTACGGCTCTGTGCTTCCCCGTAATACTTTTCTGTCCCATGTGGGGGCGGTCTGACAGCTTACAATTAATGCCTGCAGACCTCCTCCACTTCTGCACGTAACCCGTTACGTCCTCTAAAGGATGTTCCCCTCGTCGTCAGCACTGCTTAGCTCAACCGCCTTCTTCGGTGGCCCCTTTCTGCGGTCGAGAGATCTTCATCCCTTAGTGTCGACGGCGCAATCAGTCGACGCCATAAGGGATCGTCGCCCGGACTTGAACTTCGTCCTTGGGCCTTCGCATCGAAATAGGAGGGGTCCGTAAGCGTCGAGGGTTCCTTGCTTGGTGGGGATTTAGTCAAGACTACGGCATCGTTCGTTTCGCTGATTCGAGTTTAGAATTTGAGTTGAGATGTGATTTTATATGAGAGTTTTTTACTGTAGCAAAAAAGTTAGATGTGACTATTTGTGAGAGCTTTTTACTGTAGCAAAACTCAAATTTTAAACTCGAATCAGCGAAACGAACGAGGCCTACGTGTCGCGGTCTATTTCGTCCACGTGTCCGTCACATTTTCCCACACTACAGATGTTAATAAAAAATATTTTTTAATATAAAAATAAGCAATACTTTGCACACAAACCATACACCGCCATGGATTCCAAGCTCTTATTCATCTCTTCTTTTTATTCTCTTTTTCTGTTTTTTTTTTATATTTTATTCTCTTAAATTAATTTTTATTTTTAATTTTAAAAAAGAAAAACAGAAAGAATACGCAGAAGCAGAATATTCATTTATATATATTGAAAATGAAAATATAAAGGTCTACTTCTCCTCCTTTATTCTTTCGTCACTTTTTAGGGTTTTCATTTCATTTTCTTCAACCCTTTCTCTCTCTATCTCTCTCCCCATAAAATTCCAAATTTTAATCTCCGATTATTCCAGTGTGTATAGCTCGTCGATTTTCTTTGATTTGATCATATGATGATTCATTTTTTTCTCTTAAATCAGTGTGGATTTCATTTCTCGCCAGGGAGTTAAGAATCTAGGGTTTCGAATTGGGGGTTTTGGTGCTGGTGAGCTGGTTCCACTGAAAGATTGCGTCTTGCGATTGCGAATTCCGATTGGGCCTTTTATTGTTCGGATGAAAGGGATAATCGGATCGGGGATTGTGTGATCGCCGCTCTTGGCGAGCGATAAGCCGAATTGAGGGGGTTGGGGTTCTTGTATGGAAACTCGGAGCCGGAAGCGGGCGGAGGCCTCCTCAGCAGCCCCTTCTTCGTCGTCGTCCGGTCCCACCACCCGTGCCAGCAAGCGCGCCCGTGTTTCCGCCTCTTCGACATCGAACACAGCCGCCGCCGCATCGTCCGTGCCAATCGCAACCCGCTCTCGCGCCTCCAGGACCCACCTCGCCCCCGAACCCGCTCCAATGGACTCCACCAATGAATCGTCTGGCTCGCGTGGACGCGATCGCCGCAACAAGAATTCGGATAAGGATGGCTCGGATAAAGGGAAGGAGAAGGAGCATGAGGTTAGGGTTAGGGACAGGGATAGAGATAGGGAAACGGAGCGGAGCTTGGGGTTGAATATGGAGAGTGGCGGTAATGGCGACGACGATGATAACGATAGCGAAGGCGGTGCGAATATGCTGCATCAGAACCTGACTTTCTCGGCGAGTAGTGCACTCCAAGGGCTTCTTCGGAAGATCGGGGCCGGTCTTGATGATCTACTCCCGTCTTCAGCTATGGGGTCGGCGTCGTCGTCGCACCAGAGCGGGCGGCTTAAGAAGATTCTGTCTGGGTTGAGAGCTGATGGGGAAGAAGGGAAGCAGGTCGAGGCTTTGACGCAGCTTTGTGAGATGCTATCTATTGGGACTGAGGAATCGCTTAGTACGTTTTCTGTGGATTCCTTTGTTCCGGTGCTCGTTGGGTTGCTCAATCACGAGAGCAATCCCGATATAATGCTTCTTGCTGCCAGGGCTCTCACACATCTTTGTGATGTACTCCCATCGTCTTGCGCTGCTGTTGTCCACTACGGTGCAGTTTCTTGCTTTTGTGCAAGATTGCTAACGATAGAGTATATGGACTTGGCCGAACAGGTTAGATTCAATTGTGCATTTTTTGGTACATAAAACGACATGGCAATACGTTTCAAACTGGTTTAGCGTTAATTTTCTTCTGTACTAAGAAATGGTATTAGTATTAGTGAGTTGTACCCGTCGACTTTGCCAAAAGCTTCTGGAAGTCGGAATTTTTACAGTTTGTAGAATGGACAAGGGCTACGTTGTATTTTCTATCTCGAGTTGGTTTAGCTTAGGCAACATTTCTCAAGTTTTGCACTCTGATGTTGTGGTTGGTATGATTTAAACAGTCTCTGCAAGCCCTGAAGAAAATCTCTCAGGAACACCCAACTGCCTGTCTGCGTGCCGGTGCTCTAATGGCAGTGCTTTCATATCTGGATTTCTTCTCCACAGGAGTTCAGGTAAACTACTCATTGAAATTTGTTGCTTTTAAGGTGACTATGTTTTCTGGTGACTACCCTTATATATTTTCTGAACGTTATTGGTTGCTGTTGAAATTTAGCGCGTGGCATTATCTACTGCTGCAAATATGTGCAAGAAACTTCCCTCAGATGCAGCTGACTTTGTGATGGAAGCTGTCCCGCTATTGACAAACCTACTTCAGTATCATGATGCAAAGGTAACATAATTGAATATATGCTCTACATTTCTGTGGCCTTTCTTAATTATTCACCACGTTTTGTTTATGTATTTATTTTTTACCGTGTTTAGGTGTTGGAGCACGCTTCTGTTTGTTTGACCCGGATTGCCGAAGCATTTGCATCCTCTCCCGATAAACTTGATGAGCTATGTAATCATGGACTTGTGACACAAGCTGCATCTCTTGTATCAACCAGCAGTTCCGGTGGCGGGCAATCATCTCTCAGCACACCTACTTATACAGTAATTTACGATTTATGCTTCCAAGTACTTTTGTCTATTTTATTAAGGTTTTAGTTTCTGACTCCTATGAAATGCAGGGTTTAATCCGACTTCTTTCCACTTGTGCGAGCGGGTCACCGTTGGGAGCTAAAACTCTACTTCTCCTGGGAATCAGTGGTATTCTTAAAGACATACTAGCTGGTTCTGGCATTGCTGCTAACTCATCAGTATCACCTGCTCTGAGTAGGCCAGCAGAACAGGTATTTTACCTTCTCCTTCTTCCAAGCTACTACCATGGGTTATCAATCTTAGTTGGTTTATGTGTAGTAGATAGCTTTGAAGTTTTAGTCTGTTTGCATTTTCCAAGTGTTAACTTATCAGCATTTTTTGTTATTTTTCATAAGAATGGTGATGGATTAACGTTAGTCTTGTAATTTCGTATTTATAATGAAATTTTATTTCTTGTCATTTGGTGCACTGGAAGATTTTCGAGATAGTTAACTTGGCAAATGAGCTTCTTCCGCCGCTGCCACAAGGAACAATTTCTCTTCCGGCCAGCTTTAACCTATTTATGAAGGGACCCATTGTGAAGAAACCTTCTGCTAGCAGTTCTGGAAAACAAGAAGATTCAAATGGTAATGTTTCTGAGGTTTCAGCTCGCGAGAAATTATTGAATGAGCAGCCTCAGCTTCTTCAGCAATTTGGAGTTGATCTCCTTCCTGTTCTAGTACAGGTCAGCTTGTCAGTCCTGTGTTTACTTTTAGTTTCTTTCTGTTTACGTAGCATGTGTATTTCTTGTATTTGTTTCTGTTTACCTAGTGTATTATTTTTTTCACTCGTCAAGCAGATCTATGGTTCTAGTGTAAATGGTCCTGTTCGTCACAAATGTCTCTCTGTTATCGGGAAGTTGATGTACTTCAGTACTGCTGAGATGATCCAGTCTCTATTAAGCGTCACAAACATTTCAAGGTATTCCATCTTTATCTAGTTGTAATCACTTGATTCGACAGCTTGGAAAGTATGATGAAGTACTTACATGTGCTGTATTATTGATCCCATAGCTTTTTAGCTGGTGTTTTGGCATGGAAAGATCCACATGTATTGGTTCCTGCCCTGCAAATTGCTGAGATTCTTATGGAAAAACTTCCTGGGACTTTCTCGAAGATGTTTGTCAGGGAAGGTGTGGTTCACGCTGTGGATCAACTTATATTAGCGGGTAATCCAAATACAGTTCCTGCCCAGGCATCTCCTGTGGACAAGGATAATGATTTTGTGACTGGATCGTCCCGTTCTAGGAGATATAGGCGACGGAGTGGTAGCTCTAATCCCGATGGAAATTCAGCAGAAGAATCCAAGAATTCTTCTTCAGTAGTTGGCTCACCTCCGGGTTCAGTGGAGATTCCAACTGTTAATTCTAATCTTCGTATGGCAGTTAGTGCATGTGCTAAAGCTTTTAAAGACAAATATTTCTTGTCAGATCCTGAGGCTATGGAGGCTGGAGTGACTGATGATCTCTTGCTTCTAAAGACTCTTTGCTCGAAATTGAATGCTGCTGTTGATGACCAAAAGACTAAAGCTAAGGGAAAATCGAAAGCGTCTGGGTCTCGCTTAGCTGATTGTTCTGCAAATAAGGAAGAGTGCTTGAATGGGGTGATATCTGAGATGTTGGATGAACTAAGCAAAGGGGATGGTGTTTCCACTTTTGAGTTTATTGGTAGTGGTGTTGTTGCAGCCTTGCTCAACTATTTTTCTTGTGGGTACTTCTCCAAGGAGAGGATTTCAGAAGCTAACCTTCCCAAGCTACGCCAACAAGCATTGAGAAGATACAAGGCATTTGTTTCTGTTGCTCTTCCTTTCGGTGTTAATGAAGGGAGTTTGGCTCCTATGACTGTTTTAGTCCAGAAGCTTCAAAATGCTTTGGCGTCGTTAGAACGCTTTCCTGTTGTGCTGAGCCATTCATCAAGGTCATCCAGTGGAAGTGCAAGACTGTCCTCTGGACTTAGTGCATTATCCCAGCCATTTAAATTGCGTCTTTGCCGAGCCCAAGGAGAAAAATCTCTCCGTGATTATTCATCAAATGTCGTGTTGATTGATCCGTTGGCAAGCTTAGCTGCTGTGGAGGAGTTTCTATGGCCTCGGGTTCAGCGAAGTGAATCTGGTCAGAAGCCTTCAGCATCTGGTGGGAACTCAGAATCTGGTACTACGCCTTTAGGAGCTGGTGCTTCATCTCCATCTACTTCAACTCCTGCCTCTACCACTCGTCGGCATTCTACTCGCTCCAGAACATCTGTCAATATAGGAGACGCGGTTAGAAAGGAACCACCACAGGAGAAGAGTACAAGCTCATCAAAGGGGAAGGGTAAAGCTGTTTTGAAGCCTTCTCAAGAGGAGGCAAGAGGACCTCAAACAAGAAATGCTTCACGTAGAAGAGCAGGTGCAGATAAAGAAGCTGAAATGAAACATGCAGATGGGGACACCACTTCTGAGGTTTGTTTAGATATTGAATATGCTGCTTTTGAAATCTTTATGATTGGCATGAAGTTCGTACTGTAGTTAAATGCTTGATGAGTATAGTTCAAAAGTGCACTGCATTTATAACTTTATATCAAGCATAGTTCAAAAGTGCACTGCATTTATAACTTCAGTTTTCTTAGATGCATTCAGTTTATTTTATGTAACGATTGGCCATTTTAGTTGAAAATGTGAGGAAATAAAGAAAGATAATGCTAAGTACATGTATTCTTTTAATGCATGGTTAACTTTGCAAAACTAGGATACCTGAATATGCCATTTTATTTTGTTGATTAGATTATGTATAGCTCCTGTTTCCCTGGAAATGCAAGCATATAGAATATAATGTTGAATATATCCATAAAATCAGTCCTCTTTCCTCATGGCATGTTGTGGTATCTGGTTATTATTTGATTGGGTTAGACTTGTTGGACCAAAAAAATGGGGTTTATACTAGTGGTTACAATTTTTTTCGTTTTATTGGTTGAATATTCAGAAGGGTCTTTTTAGAAAAAACCAATTATTGAAAAGGATGTTAATATGTTTGTAGTTGTAGACTTCTATATCCAGTTAATTCTGAAAAAGTATGATGGACGAGCTGTGGTCTTTTCTTCTTTTTTCTCACCTGTTAAGTATTACTATTATCTTTTGTTTAACTTCTCCTTTTGTAGGATGAGGAATTGGATATATCCCCTGTTGAAATTGACGACGCTTTGGTAATTGAAGATGATGATATATCAGATGATGAAGATGATGACCATGATGATGTATGTTATCTACGTTTCTCTTGGTTTGCCTTTCCTGTTATCCTTTTTTTTTTTCCCAGGGTGGTGGGGGTGGAACACAGGCTCTAACATAGTCTCGTATGTGGACGGTGGACCCTTGTGTCATGATTCATTATTTGTTTTATAATTTTTCTGGCTCTTGATTGTATTCTGTTTCCTTTTTCTTGACAGGTTCTTAGAGATGATTCTCTTCCTGTTTGCATGCCGATTCCGGATAAAGTACATGATGTTAAATTGGGAGATTCCACTGAGGATAGCAGTACAGCCCAAGCAACAAGTGACAGCCAGTCTAATCCTGCTTCTGGTTCTAGTAGCAGAGCTGCTGCAGTTAGGGGCTCGGATTCCACTGATCATAGGAGTGGTAGTTCTTATAGTTCAAGGGGTGCAATGTCATTTGCTGCTGCTGCTATGGCTGGGCTTGGATCTGCCAATGGTAGAGGAATCCGGGGAGGCCGAGATCGTCATGGACGTCCTCTTTTTGGGAGTTCAAGTGATCCGCCAAAGTTGATATTTACTTCTGGTGGAAAGCAGCTTAATAGACATCTGACTATCTATCAGGCCATACAACGACAGCTTGTGCTGGATGAGGACGACGGTGAGCGATATAATGGCAGTGATTTCATATCTAGTGATGGAAGCAGGCTGTGGAGTGATATTTACACCATCACATACCAGAGGGCAGACACTCAAGCTGACAGGGGCTCTGTGGGAGGCTCAAGTTCTACTACTACATCCAAATCATCTAAATCGGCTGCTGCTTCTACTTCTAATTCTGATCGGATGTCTCTTCTGGATAGCATTTTGCAGGGTGAACTCCCTTGTGATTTAGAAAAGTCGAATGCTACTTATAATATATTAGCATTGCTGCGTGTACTGGAAGGCTTAAACCAGCTTGCACCTCGTTTGAGAGCCGAGATAGTTTCTGAATACTTTGCTGAGGGGCGAATTTCAAGTCTAGACGACTTGATTTCAACGGGTGCTCGGGTTTCTTTTGAGGAATTTGTCAACAACAAGCTCACTCCCAAATTAGCGCGGCAAATCCAAGATGCCCTTGCTTTGTGCAGTGGGAGTCTTCCTTCATGGTGTTACCAGTTGACAAAGGCCTGTCCCTTCTTGTTTCCTTTTGAAACTCGCAGACAGTATTTCTACTCAACGGCATTTGGATTATCGCGTGCATTGTATCGTCTTCAGCAGCAGCAAGGTGCTGATGGTCACGGATCAGCAAATGAAAGAGAGGTGAGGGTTGGAAGATTGCAGCGTCAAAAGGTTCGTGTGTCTCGAAACCGCATTTTGGATTCAGCAGCAAAAGTAATGGAGATGTATTCCAGCCAAAAGGCTGTGCTTGAAGTTGAATATTTTGGTGAAGTAGGCACTGGGTTGGGTCCTACACTTGAGTTCTATACACTTCTAAGTCATGATTTACAAAAAGTTGGACTCTGTATGTGGAGGTCGAATGCTTCGCTGGAGAAACTGTCGATGGAAATTGATGCAGATGATCAGAAACATGGAAAAAGCAATAATGGTTCTGAGCTTGGTTTTGCTGCTGGCAGTGATGATCTTGTCCAAGCTCCTCTTGGTTTGTTCCCTCGTCCTTGGCCTCCAAATGCCGTTGCTTCTGATGGCACCCAATTCTCTAAGGTCACCGAGTATTTCCGGCTGGTTGGGCGTGTAATGGCCAAGGCTCTTCAAGATGGGCGGCTGTTAGACCTTCCACTGTCGACAGCATTTTACAAACTTGTGCTTGGTCAAGTATGTTATATATCAATTTTTCTTTATTACCCTTTTGGGAGCTCTTTTTTTTTTATTGAAATTTTAATTTACGAATACAGTTTGATTTTTACTGTCCAAATCTATTTCAGGACCTTGATTTGCATGATATCATTTCATTTGATGCTGAATTGGGGAAGACTTTGCAAGAACTACATGTCCTTGTCTGCCGCAAACAACAGCTAGAATCTAATGGAGACAATGGTGCCGTTGCTGACTTATGCTTCCGCGGCGCTCCATTTGAAGATCTTTGCTTGGATTTCACACTCCCTGGTTATCCAGATTATGTGCTGAAATCAGGAGATGAAAATGTACGGAAACATGTTCTAATGTCTATATTCTGCAAGGTTTAATTGTTGTGATGATGATTCAAACAATTCTAAAATTTTCAGGTTGATATTAACAACTTGGAAGAGTACATATCCTTAGTTGTTGATGCAACAGTAAAGACGGGTATAATGCGGCAAATGGAAGTATTTAGGGCAGGTTTCAATCAGGTTATATGCTTTCTCTGATCTTAATGGTAGAAGTATGTCTTCAGTGTTCTGTGTTATCTACCTTTAATTAGTTCTACCATCTTTATTTTATATTCATATTTATCTTTTTATCCGCCTTGGAGACATTCATCTCTTACATTTCTTGCACTTTGATTTTATGATTATTTGGATTTGCATCTACGCTGCATACGCAGCTTGTATATATAGCATCAATAGGTTTCTTCTAGTGATCGACTTCATTATGGTGTTTTTTCTGATAAGCGACTTCATCATGTTCTTTGGTTTAGCTATCTTCTACTTGTAAATCTGTATGTGCAGCTTATATTTAGGATGGCCAATACATTTCTTCTAGTGTGCATTATACATTGTGCAGTACACTATTCTTCAAAGTTGAGAAATTTGTTTATGTTAATGCTATTGCAAACGTATACTCAATGTAAGGTTAACTGTAAGTTCTTCAGTTAAGTGTTTTTTTTTAGCTGCTTGAAAGAGTTACATAATTTCCCAGTTTTGATGGAATGTGATGACTGGTAAACGTTAGACTACTAATTTTGAAGGGGGCGAGTTCAGAAGTGACGATTGTTGTTGGGAGGAAAAGAACTTGAAAAAAAAAAAAAGATGCAATGATAAATTTTTCTAATGGAAATATGAGTAGACGTTAAGAATAGAAGAGCCTTTTTTTTTATTTTTTATTTTTACTAATGTTTGGGGAATATTTTATTTTAATCGTCCCAACATTGTTGATAGCTGGACTAGGCATGTGACTAGCTCATTTTGTTATCTTCATCTGCCACTTTTCACTTTCTTGTAATATTGTTTGCTAGCTGATTTGTTTCTCTATGCTACTCTTATTTTCCACTTTTTAGTTCCCTTGTTAATCTTATACTGCCTGACAAGCAGGTCTTTGATATCTCTTCTTTACAAATATTCACACCATATGAGTTGGACCATCTGCTTTGTGGCCGTAGAGAGATGTGGGAGGTAAATGCCCCTGCTAATGTATAACTTCTGTTTCTGTCAGCAAAATTTTGTATATTTTAAAGTCCCTCATATCTTTCGTGTTTCTAATTGTGCAGGCAGAAACACTTGCTGATCACATAAAATTTGATCATGGTTACACCGCCAAGAGTCCTGCAATTGTGAATGTATGTCACCTTCCTCGATCCTTAAGCACGTTCTTTGGAAATTAAGTAGCTGACTTTCTGATGATCTTGATGCCTTGTTTACTATGTTTATAGTTGCTTGAGATTATGGGAGAGTTCACACCAGAACAGCAGCGGGCCTTCTGCCAGTTTGTAACTGGTGCACCAAGGCTTCCACCTGGTGGTCTGGCGGTGCTGAATCCAAAACTGACCATTGTGAGAAAGGTATACGAGAACTTTTAATGTTGATATCGTCTTTGTGTTTTTAACGTTTCTATGTTTTCTTAGTGTAATGGTTGTATCCCTCCTTGCAGCATTCATCTTCCTCAGTGAACACTGCAGCTAATGGTACTGGGCCTTCGGAAACAGCAGATGATGACTTGCCTAGTGTCATGACATGTGCTAATTATCTGAAGCTTCCTCCTTACTCTACCAAGGTACTCTTTAATACTATCACAGTATTAAAATCGGGTATTAACCCTAAAATTTTTATTCTCTTTCACGTTTTATGACTCAATGAGCGATGTTCTGTGAACAGGAAATCATGTACAAGAAACTACTCTATGCAATCAGCGAAGGGCAGGGATCCTTTGATTTGTCATGAGATTTTGGACTAACTAATTTACCTGTGTATATTTTACATCACACAAATCCGTGTCATTTCCTTGCCTTTTGGATATCTTGATGTTGAAAATAGCATCCTACTTGCTAAAAAAAATAAAGGCTTCTTTTGGTACCCTCCTAAGCTTTAGTGGCTTTGCCAAGGTCAGTACTACTTCCCTAGAATGCTACTTTTTTTTTTTTTTTTTTGTACTTATTTCAACTGTTTCTTACGTCTCCCTTTTTTAGGCTTTGAAATTACATAACTATATATGTAGTAATTTAATAAACATTGGTTGATTTTTTTCTTCTCTCTTCTTTTCAGGATGGTTGACTACATTTTTAAGAGGCTGTAAAGGAATCCGCAAGCACTTTTTCCGGCTGCAGGGGCTGCTTGTAAATAAATAGGAATTCTCGAATTTTATTTTTATTTTTTTGGGTTCTTTTCTTGTCAACTCATTAGCTGGTAGAATATAAATGTATTTGCATAAAATGACGAAAGGGAAAAGGCATTCAATTGAAATATTTTGTTATGCCGTTTAGACTAGTTTATTCAGAATTTAAACAGTTCTTTGGTCCAAGCTTATTGCATTGTTTTATTGCATTGTCTTATTTTAGTTTCAGCAGGCAACTATATATTTTGTAAAAAAAGGAAAATACATGGATGATAATCTGCAATGACTTTTAAAAGACAATTTTACATGTCGAAATATTTAAGATTGGAAAGAAAAAATGCTAGAGAATACTCGGCAATTATTTTAGAACTGATTGATACAGCTAAGAATATTCTATTTTGAATGAAAATATAATGTTAAGAATTATAGTTTGTTTCTGTGCGTGTACAACAATGTTGAAGCAATTTGTGGGGTCCTTTCTTTGTTCTGATTATAAAGTGGATTTTAATAAGGATGAGGGTTGAGCAGAACTAAAAATATTACAAAACTATATTTGTAAATTTATAATTCGTTTCATATTTAATAGAAAACCATAAACATAAAAATTCCAATATAAACTCGTCCATATACATACCTGCGTTCTTTTACATAAAGAAAAAGAAAGAAAGCCATTTTCTTATTATTCTCTCTTTCTAATGTGTTGGCTTGTCAACTGAAACCATAGAACTTCACAGCCATGGAAGAAAAAAAAAAAAAAAAAAAACTGGGGGGTTTGAATTATCATATTCTTGTTGAGGTTATTTAACCGTCTACGCTGAGATTGCAGCAAAGCTGTTGCCAAAGTAAAGGGTCCTTACTAGGTGTTTTTTTTTTTTTTAGTTGTCCTTACAGTTATAACATCGTACTCTCCATAATTCTTTAGTGAATCTTCGGCTACCTTGAGGAGGGCAACAAACAAAGTTTTTCTCTTTTTTTTTTTTTTTTTTTTTTCCTCTATCTCTTTTTGGTGAATGATAAGTAATTAAGTTACAAAAAGCAAATAATCAACTTGTTTGAGTTTATGACTGGATAACACAAAAATGGGAAAGAAGAAAAAAAGAGAGAAAGAAAAAGAAAGGTGAGGAGAAGAAGAAGAAGAAGAATGAGATTTTGGTCTCTTCTTTTTACTGGTTTTCAATAGTTCACTTCAATCTTCCATGGTTCTAATGATGGGAAGGAGCACATTTGACTTGGATGGCAAGCGTCTTGTTGACATTTGGACAAGCGTCACCATTCTTATCGAAAAGCTCTTTCTTCACAGGAACCACACAGGTTGGCTTCCCCAAACAATGCTGCTCAAAAATCCAAAAAACATAATTAGACCCATCAAATATTTGACATTTATCCACAAAAACCAGAAAGAGAAAACGCAGATAAGTACTTCTTCGTTTTGGTTTTATTACCTGTTCAACAATTCCCTTGGTTGAAGGAGAGTTGCAAGTGCCCAAGACAAAGTTTCCACAGACGCCCGCAGGATCTCCGTAGCTGGCGAAATCAACGGAGGCGATCTTCTTGTGGTTCGGGCACTTGAGGTGAGCCGCTGGCTGCAGAATGTCCACCACTGCTCGGATGTGGCTCTCTTCCCTTGCCCATGACTTGACGTGTGGTGGAGAAAACTCTGTTATGTAGCTACAAATGGTGTCTCTGTTGACTTTTAGGATCTCTATTCCTTTGGGGCTTGCTTTCTCCTCCTCTAGTACCACAAGCAGGTTTTGTGTTGGCTTGAGGAATGATCTTGGGATGTGGTATCTGACATAGAAGAATAAACTTAGCAATGATATTGGACGTGATTATCACCACTCAATGATTTTCAAATAAGAAACATACTCATTTACACAAGAATCTACTATTTACTACCCTAAATAATAATCTACTATGAGTTAATATAAAAGAGCCTGCTAATTACTATGCCGTTATGTCTCACGTTATATGTGTGTGACAATAAAATAAGAGTCATATAATAAAAAGTATGATAGTTGAATCTCACATTATTATGTGACTGTTCTGACATGCAATTATATCACTAATAATATTTTATAATATTTTTTCGAAACGTTATATATTAACTCCATGTTACTTTTATAACTTGACCATAAATGTGGACTCAAATCCTCACCTTTTGGATGGGATGAGAGAAGCCTCACCAACCCAATTAATTCATACTGTAGTTAGTAGTACATAGTTTGAACTTTGACATAGTAACTTTTGGCTAGATTTCATTGAAGCTAGTCATGATGACTGATATTTAGTGTTTTTCATAAAGATTTGAGAGAATAGCTATGGTTTCTATTGATTTTTTCTTTCACTTACTCTTCTTGAGACGGTTTTCCAAGAGGAGAGAGGTAGGACATCCAGTAGCGGCCAATGTTTTGGCCATTCACCCAGATCATCCCTTTCCCCATGCCATTCATCCGGATAGCAACAGGGTCTCTCCCTTCAGGAGCATCAAAACGTGTCTGCTCAAAAAATAATTGGATGAATTTCTCCTGTCCCAATTGCAAGAGTAACAATAAGCAAACATTTCAAATTTGGAAATCATTATTACCTTGTACCATGTGAGAGCTGGACCTTGTCTCTTGACTTTGCTCCATTGAACCTTCTTTGATCCATCCTCAGTGAACACATGATTCTTTTCACCAGTCAAGCCAACCTAAAAAAAATACCACCACTTTTGTCCATAAAACTCTCATGTACATGTTTGGTTTATTTTTTAGTACATCAATTGGAAATTTTTTTGACATTCGCAAGGGTGTTCATTTTTTCACCTGATTGCCCCAACCATTTGGTGTCAGATCAATTGTTCCGGTGTTCAAACCAAGTATCGTTACTGCTCGAGGCCCTGCAAATCTGTGCTCCATGTAGGCTCCGCTATCCTTAAATCACAGGAAAGAGCAGGTTTTTATTGCCTGATTTAAGACCCTTCGGAGAGATAAAGAGGGAAAAATCAAAGTAATGAGCTCCTTACTGGGAGTCCAACTGTCATGCCCAGAATAGCTATATGGTTCGTCCCAGGCTTTAAGACAATAGCATGTTGGAACACAAAGCTCTTCTCTTCATGGCTTCCATGTCCAGATCCTGAAAGAAGTAAATTGTTTTAGAGTGGTTGACAAAGAAAAGCTGCCATTGACAGTTAATATAATGCGTGAGTTCTTGTGTCAGGTGCTTACCAACATATTCACCATTGACAAATGCGTGCAATGCATGACCAAGACTTGAAATTCTTAGAACTGGTAGAATATCAGGCCTCATTGGCAAGTCACGTTGACTCAGGTCAATGCTGCAATTTAGAATACAAGATCATGTTAGATTTAAGCTATACGAAACTGTTAGTTTAAGATCAGTCATCTCAATGCTAGCTTAAGCTACTTGGAGGTGGACCAACAAAATGGTCCTCAAACTTTAAGATAAATGTCATTTTAGTCCCCAAATTTCAAACCTTCCTAGACCATACCACATGGTGTGTGTAATAGATTGTTGGATTATATAGTGTACGAGGAGTTCTGCCCAAAATTTATGCTCATGTAATAATACATGGACAAATTTTGCCACGCAATGAGAGATCGGTCTCAGTTATGAGACATTTTAAGAGTTAGGGACTAAAGTTGAACTTTCCTTAAATGTGGAGGCCATTTTTGAGATTAATCCTTATGTTTTTGGTATTCTAACAAAAGCATACCTTACTTAAAAGTACTAGCTTCACATGCACTTACCTAGTGGTGTACCAGGCATAGTCAGTGGTATCTTTCAGCAAGCTATAGAGCTCATGTGGTATTCTGTTGTTAACTGGCACTTGGTGGACGCTTGGAATTTGCTCTGGGGACATCTTCCATTTAAGGGTACTGGCAACTTTCGATCTAACGTAGTTTCTTGCATTATGCTGTGATACAATCTGTTTTTTAACACGAACAAAAACATCCCGTCACACGTGTAATTTAATTCAAGAGCTTGACAACACATGACAAGCTCTTTTCAAATGGAACACAAAAAAGTTTTATCTTGTGTTTGATGTAGTTACGGTTTGAGTGTTGTAGACCACATTCTTGCAGTCAGGAAGAATGCTTATCGACCGCGGTGGCAGGTAATATGCACTGCCCCTGAATTTCACGGTGTGCGCAACTTTGGAGTTGTTGTTGGACAAGAAAGCAGCACAAATGTTTGTTCCTGGCTTTTCATACATCCGAACCTGCATATCATTAATCAAACAGCTTAATTCAAATATTTCATGTGATGGATATTAATGAAAATGCAGATTTGTAGTGATTTTATTTATTTATTCAGACTTACTTAGGAACTTGACTAGACTTACCTCTGTGTGCTTGCCCAACTTTTGGCCTCCAGGTGTTCCCCAAAGTAAAGCTTTCTTGCACAGATTTAAGGCCCTGTGCAAATCTCTGAGGTGACTCCACTTTGGCTCCCTCTGTAAACCTGCATATTCATATGAATAATCCTCGTATTAGACTAACTTTTTTCTTTTTTCTTGAGGAAAAAAAAAAAGAGCCTCCATCCAATATTGGGGGGTAAAAATATTTACCATATTCGTCAAGAGGAGCTTCATCATAGTACCTTGTTGTAGTGAATACCGCACTTGTTCTACCAAAGTTAGTCCCACCATGGTACTGCAAATTTAATGAAACTAAGGTTGAATAAAATAACCACACTTAGGATTAGTGTGGGATTGTTGTGCATTTGAAAGAAGTTTTATTTTACTGGTGCTGAAAAAAAGTGCTATTTTGACCCTTATAATAGTTGGCTATAAGTGTTTTTGAGGAAAAAAAAACACACACACACACACCTTAGTATTATTGGATTGGTAAGGAAAACTACCCTTCAACTAGAATATTAGTGGTTTTCTAATTAAAGAGGTATAGAAAAATGGCTAGTTTCTTCATACCATATAGTAGTTGGCTAGAGTTCCATTCTTTGAAAAGAAACGGGCAACTGAGTATGCAATGTCTTCAGCGGCTCTTTGAGAAGGTGGGTCCCCAAATACTCTGTATCTGCAATCACCAAAAATTTACATGCATTATAATTTATATGATGCATATTTTAAGACCCTGAATCTGATGCTAAAAAAATGGTGACAACTAAATAAGTATATATAAATACTTACTGAGCAGTCCAGTTTTCCGTCCAAATAGAAGGCTTGTAGGGATTGTTTGGACCTGTAAACGTATCTCCACAATGCCTACCGTTGCATGTATTTATCTGCAAATTTTGCATGCAATTAATAAGATATTATTATTATTATTATTATTATTATATTTTTGTTTTTGCAAATCCTCTGAGGGTAAATATTAATATTAATTATTAATACGACGATTCATTTATCCAAAAAAATTAATTAATTCGTGAAAGTTTTCCAAATAACTTACGACTGGATCAGGAGCATCCTTTTGCTTGCACATGACCCATGGAACTCCAGTTTTCATACCCACCGCCATATTTGCAGACCACTGAACATATCTTGTTCCCATTTCTCTATACGCAAGTTGGATATGGTTGTACTCATTCTCAATCTATATAGCCAAATAGGAAAAACATATACATATATAAATTACAAAAAGGATAACTTTAGAAAACATGAAACGACAGTTTATGAAGGAAAAACGACATTTTGATATGTAGAAGAAATGAAACCAAACCTGTGCCAATATGATGGGACCTCCTTGTGGAGCAAACAACTTCTCTTCTTTCATCATGTTTATAATCTTCTTTACGTATCTTTTCATGTGGTACTGCAGATTGAAAATTTCTCAAACTAATTAGCATTAAGCTTCTTGGCTTTAATTAATTAGATCTTTAATATAAGGCTCTTAAATTAGTTTTGTTACCTTGAATGGAGCATTATCAGAACGGAATATGATGTTCGGGACCTCTCTCAGCCAGTACGGAAGACCTCTGAAAAGCAGAATACGCATTCAATCAGTTAAAAAAAATAATAATGGTGATGAATATACGAGATAAGTGGCTAATTAATTACAATGTTTTAAGAATAAATAAAATAATTAATTGATAATTACCCGTGATTCCATTCAGCTTGGATGAAAGGTCCAACTCTAAGGGTCACATACATTCCATTCTCAGCAACCAACTTGATGAACTTCACCAAGTCATATTTTCCCTCAAAATTGAACTGCAAAATAACATTGAATCCATAATAACCAACAATTTGTCACGTGTTTTATATATATATATATATATATATATATATAATATTTGCAATTATAATTATTGTTATTATGTTACCTGGCCTTTAACAGGCTCATGCACGTTCCAAAAAACGTACGTCTGAATCACGTTGAGACCTCCATGTTTGGCCTTTTGAATAATATCAGGCCACATCTGAAATATTACAACACCAAATAATTCCACAAAAAGAAAAAAAAGACAAAAGTCATTTCGTGAATACAACCCAGAAGAGGAAAAAAAATTTAAACTATATTAATTAATCATATTAATTTACATCTGGGGTGCTACGTGTATAATGGATTGAACCAGAAAAAAGAAGTTCTCTTTTTCCATTGATGATCAACGACCTCCCGTCGTCCACGACGCCTTGTGTATGTCTTCCTCTATGAGCAACCGTAGACGACACAAGAACAGAAGAAACGACAAGTACTAGGATCACCAAACGGTAAGGATTCCATTTATCCGGGGTCATTTTTTTTTTCTTTTCGTTTCTTCTTTCTTGCTTTCTTTCTTTCTTTTCTGACCAGTTTAGATCATAAGAACTAATGCGGGCGCAAGGGAAAAGACAATTAAGACAAGTGCCTAAGGTCCCCCTTGAATCAAGGCTCTTTATTAGAATCATTGTACACCTCAAAATTCTTTTTTTAGAAAACGTTTAACTAATTTCTTTTACTCCTCAAAATATAAAAACACGTTTATTAGTTTTCGTTTCTAAAAAGTAAAAATAAAAAATAAAAAAAAAATCCATTTCTTTGGTTCAAGTTTTTAATTTTTTACAACTCATAAAACGATACCTAGGTAGGCATATTGTGGCGTTTTCCTAGCTATTTCTTAGGTATTTGTTTGAGACTTAACTCCCTTTTTGGTTCAAGCGCAAAAAATAAAAAAATAATAAAAAATAATAAAAACGCCCTTTTTGGTTTTCCTTTTCGATGTGGGACTAAAGTTGCCATTACATTTACAGCGAAACTCAGAAACACAAGGGTTTTATTACTACAGTGTTAAGGTTCCCATTACATTTACAGCAGCAGCAAAACAGAACAAAAACCCATCGAAACATGTCAAATCGCCAAGACGACCTCGACCTCCTTCTCTCTCTTCAAGACCGCGTTCTGGAAACTCCTCCCGCTTCACCTCGTACGGTTTGTCGGAAATTTGATCATGAATCTCAAAATGTGTGTGTGTGTGTGTGTTTTTTTTTTTTTGTGATTTTTTGAATCTTTCTCATTTCTGGATTTGATGATTCATCAAGGGTATTGTTCCGATGACGATGACGAATCTCCGAGTCGAAGGAGAGCAGAGCAAGCGGACATGTCCGTCTTTAGGGATGCTGTTCTTGACTGCCTCGATTACCAGCCCAGCGCCGCCGAAATCTCTGCCAAATCCAAGCGGACTAAGCCCACAAATGAACCTCTGGTCGAGAAATTTTCCGGTTTGCGAATCAGGTTAGTAGTTCACGTCGATTTGTTTTTTTTTTTCCCCTTAATTTTCATTTTTCTAAGCGTCAATGGGAGTGATAAATTTCCTTTTTTTTTTGGCTTAGAAATCAGTTGGTTACTTCTGCAGAGCTTGGAGAACGTTTATCGGACATTCGTTTCGTCCGATTATCAGCCATAAAGTAACAAAACTTACTTCTAACTTTGGAAATTGATACGATTTTACTCTTCCTAAGTGCTTCTTCTTCTTCTTCTTCTTTTTTTTATTTTTTATTTTTTGTTAACAAGGAATTTGTTGGTTGGAGATACACTTTCTGGGTGTTGGGCAACGGTTGGAGTGTTGACCGAGAAAGGGATTCCGAGGACTAGTTCCACGGGGAAAGGCTATTGTATATGGAAAATTGCGTGTTTGGATGAGGCCACCATGTCCTTGTTCTTGTTCGGAGATGCCTATAAGAAATTCTGCGACGAGCCAGCAGGGACAGCGTTCGCTTTTTTCGATTGCAGGGTTCGCAAAGACTCTATGGTAAATACCCAATTCTAGTTTGCTCATAACTCTTTTCGCGTTACTTTTCCTTATGCTTTTGAGCAATAGAAAAAAGCTTTTTAGTCAGTGTTTGGAATTACATTTTGAGAAGTGAAATAAATGTGATATTTAAGCTCTGATACAAGTTTTGTAAGAGCTTATTGGAAAAGCTAAATTTTGTGGCTTTGACCTGAGGTTCTTTTTGGAGAATCAAAACTCATTAAAAAATTTACTTGAACACTTCTTGAATCAGCTTTTGGATTCAAGAAACCAAAATCAGCTTATAGGAAGCAATCCAATAAGACCCCTTTGCCTTTACTTTACTCTCTCTTGTGAAGTTTTATGAAGGGTCAATGGTTTTGTCGTTTGTTTGTTTGTTTGTTTAAGCAGGGTCCTGGGTTCTCTCTGAGTCTGTTTTCACCTAAACAAGTGTTGAAGATAGGTACTTCAGTTGATTATGGGATTTGCAATGGTAAAAGGAAGGATGGAGTGGTTTGTACAGCAGTCATAAACAAGTAAGTAGTATTTTATTTTAAGGTATATGTATATTTTTTTTGTTTGAAATGGTATTTGAAGATATTATTAGATCACACCTTTTCAAAGATTGAGATGGTTATAACTAAAAGATTATAAAGTACATTAATTATGAAAATCAGTTTTGAACTAATTGCCTTTGTTCCCAAGCCTAGGATCTTAGGCTATTAGCTTAGGGAACTTTTGCATAAGTTTATAGTAAAAGGAAATTTTAGCATGTTTCGACTTTCGCTTACTAGAGAATGGATGTAGCAGAAAAACAACATCTAGTGAGAAAACGACATGTAGTGGTGCAAAACATGTAGAGAAACGACATGTAGTGGTGCAAAACATGTAGAGAAACGACATTGAATAGATGTAACAAAGAAAACGAAAACGCATGTAGTGGTGCAAAACATGTAGAGAAACGACATTGAATAGATGTAACACAGAAAACAACATCTACTGGAAAATTGACATCCTATGAGACTATTTTATTTTTTCTGCAATGTATTGATTTTAGTGTCTTAAAATTGGGTGTTTATTTTCTTGCAGACGTTCTGGTATTTATTGTAAATATCATAAATTGGTAAGCACAACTCTGTAATGCCTCAATTTTGTTTGGTCAATCTGTCTTTGAACGAACTTACTAAATCATACTTTCAACGTGCCACATTTCAACAGACAGAATCTCAGAAATATACCACTATGCGAACTGAGCTCAAGGGAGGGTAGGTATTAATTGAAGGGGAAAAAAAAAATTAGTTGATCGTATAATGCGTAACTCACATTTGCACAATATAAAACTGTTTATCCATGGCGTTTCTTGACAGGAACCTCAGCAGGAAAAAAACAGCAGGAACCTCAGAACGGCTTTTAGAAATCGTCGCATGTCTGAAGGCATTTACATGGTTGATCCTTTGGCTGACAAAAAACACTTGAAGAACTCCAAGCAACCTGTGAAACTATTGTCCGTGGAAGGACTAAAAAAGGCATTGAGGTTTGTCATAGATAGCATAATTTGGTTTTTTTCTTTTTGATTTACATGTTCTTTCTGTTACGCAAATCGTCTGCTTATTCATCTAAATGAACAGTAATGGAGTTAAAGTGACAACAAATAAGCACTCGCAAGGATTAAGATTTCTCGCTGAGATCACAGGCTAGTATAATCCTTTCATGTTCCTGCTTAAACCCTTTGTGAAGCTTTTTATGGATACTGATTATGAGGCATCTTTTTAATGCAACAGGGAAAACAGGAACCAAAAATATCGAGGAATCAACAATGCAAAAGCAACAAAGCACTAGCTTGGATAAGAGGTGATTCATTTATATATTTGTTTTTGGTTCTGTAAATTTGTTTTTAGTTGCCCATTTAACTAAAGATTTAACCACCGTTTCTCAGGAAATCATCTAGTCTGAACAAAGATTCATCTGAAGTTATCAGAAACCAACAACTAAACACAAAAAGAAATAAAACTGAAAAGGAGCAAACTTTGGCAGACAAAACCAAGCAGGGAACAGGAAAAATGATTGAATTAGATTATGTTAGTTCAGATGAAGGATTTTGAAGCCTTTTAAGCACTTGTCCTAGTTGTCTTGTAATACGACAAGATAATAAGAGATCTCTTCATGATATGCAAAAATCTGGAATTGGAAATATCATTGGATGACCCCACTTATATAACTTCCAAGGACTCGATGGAATCAGGTGATTTTCCTCACTAATAGGATTGTAGTGATGTGCCAAAGTTTGTCCCACAATACGGTACAAATTAATGGAATTCAAGTGGGTCTATAGCTGTGCTTTAGTTCCAAAAAAAAAAAAAAAAAAAATGGTTGCAGGGCAAGATTCAAATCGATTTATATTATTGTTGTGGAAAACGTAATGCATTGTGATGTTAGACGAATTTAAAGTTTTAGTTGACTTGAACGTCAATTGACATTGACATTCTTTGTTATGCGCGTTACTATTGCTTTATTTATTTCTTTATTTTGATGTGGAGCATTATCTATTACTTCTTCCTCTTTTTTTCTTTTTTTTTTTCCATCAGTTTCTCATCTGATTACTAATATAAACATATATTATAAAATGTATACTAGTCGGTCACAACAAATTTGGCTTGGACTGACAGTTGTAAAGATCTCATATAAGCAAACAAAGGGTCGATGTGATGTTTTGTATACTCAAACTTATATTATTAATTATATTATAGTGTTTTTTTCACAAAAAATTTAAACTTTTAACGTCAGATTTAAAAATTATGCTTTGAGTATAGGGCTGTTCATAAACCCGAACAACCCGCAAACTCAACCCACCCCGCCCCAACCCAAGCCGAAAAAAGTAACCCGCAGCATTATTTTTAAATTTTCGGTCTATTATACTTCTAACCCGAAGTGTTTGGGACGGATTGCGGGTTGGGTCCATAACAATCCGCAATCCCCAACTCAACCCGCACAACATACCCCCAAGCTTTTGGCCCAAGCCGAACTGCCCAAGTTCTACCTTAAGCTCGCTAACATCAGGGTTCACAATCTCATTCTCGGTCTCCCCTCCCGTGAACCCCCTCTTCTTGCCTCTTCCTTTTTAGTTTTCCCTCTTCTTCCTCTCCTGTGAACCCCCTCATAACTCTCTCCTCATTGCTCAGTCCTCTCGGCTGCCGTCTTGCCCACTTTCTCCGGTGCTCTCTCGCCGGACTGATAAGGATGGTTGCTATTTCTATTTAATGATGAAATTTGAATATTATATTGAACTTTAAGTCTTTGATTTTTTGAATGTTGAAACCGACCACCCAACCCACCCCGCACCGCCCCAACCCAACCCGAACATTGTTGGGTTGTGAAATTTTTCTAATATCGTTGGGGTCAAATATGTGCAACCTGCACCCTTTGAGGTGGAAAAAAAAAAATTCTACCTCGCACTAACCCAATCTATGAACAGCCCTTATACTTTTAAACAAGTCTAAAACCTTCCGGTCTTACTAAAGAAACCAAAAAACCATACAAAAGCGCAAAGCCTAGTCATTAAATCATAATAATTGGCATGTAGTGGGTGATTTGTACGATAATTTTTGGATTAATAATTCATTCCACGACTAGTTGACTCATACAGATTTCTAGGTGCGAAATGGTGGTATTAGTCACCTAAACCACAGGCCAGTGGTGGATGTTTGGATCTACTGGTTATTGTGTATTTAGTCAGTAGAATATGATTATATTGCTTGAATAATATATGAATTTCTCTGCTTATATGGGCATTACTTAATTGGTTTAAAATTGACTGTAATTGAAAGGTATAAAACTGTATCCAGAGAAAGCGCCACATATGCAGTAGGAGGGTGGTAGGTGATCCATACACATGGGAGTTGGTACAAAATCCCATGTTTAATTTGTACGACAGGGATAATCCCCAATTAGTGTCAAATAAAGAAAACAAAAATTCCCAAATAAAAATACAAAACCTCAGAATATATATATATATATATATATATATATAGGTTTGAGGGGACTCATTGTCCTGAATCCTGCGATGGGGACCGCGGACCAAATAGGTTTAGGCACCAAAAACGTTAGCGAATTTCTATATACTTTTTCATTTTGTTTGTCTTATTAGGCGAGTAACTACAACTTTTGCTATTTCTCCTCCTTTTTTTTTTGTCCTGAACAAATTGTTAGGTCATGTCTTTCATGAAAGCAACCAAACACGATACCCGACTGACATGTGCAATTCAAGCGGAAACAATGATGGTGAGAAAAAAAAAAAAAAAAAAAAAAAACCTAGCATTTAAATACTTGTATGTATGTAAGTCAAAACTTATAATAAAACGACAAGTCGTTTATGAAATGGACAAGAAAGTTACTCTTTAAAAGAACCCCCTGAAGTGGCTGAAACGACACTCCATTTGCCGGAGTTGGATTCTGGCTTAGATTAATTGCTTCTAGACCTCTACCAAATTTAAAAAAAAAAAAAAAAAACAGATGAATTTTCCAAATGAGTGATGTAGTGGTGGTTGGACGTGCCAATAACAACTCAACCACCGCCACCATTTTCACCAATGGATCTGTAAGTGGTTAAAGAGCCACTAAGTGTGATTGGTCAGTTAACAAAAGCATAATAAAGGGGTCATAGTCATGCTAACGAGGCATAAACCAAAACCAGCAAGTTGTTTCATTCATGCATATACTCGTTATTTCTATCCCTTTTTATTGGCTTACTCACATGATTGCTTTTCCTTCAAAGCCAAGGCTCTCTCTCCATCCTCACATGTCAATAATATCATCCATACGAAGTTTGGACCATAACTTTCCTTCATGAACAAGGCAAAGCCCATTTTGTAGACCAACTTTGTCGTTTTTGTTTGTCTTTTCTTCAAACCATGATTTTCCAGGTTATGCGGTTGACATGTAGTAGTGTTTTTTATTTATTTATTTATTTTGGTTCAACTTTTTTCTTATAAGGTCTGTAATCAGAGTTTGACTTCTTGGGAAAACTTTAATTTAGGAATTTAAGGGATGAGGACTTTGGTTTGGCACAATATCAAACTAGAAAGCTAAGGAAAACTAATGCTCATTACCAAATTTAAAAACTAGAAAATTAATAAGGATGACATTCTTGCAATATAATACATCCAGTCGTTTTATGCATAAATTTCGTGCAATTACTTTCCTAAATAAATTTTACGCGTATTTAACATCACTGTCTGGTCTAAATTCAATATGACTTTCTTAAATTGGCTTAATCATAATGGTCCAATGGTAAACCTATTATTCCTTTCTTGTTTTCCTCTGTCCAAACCTCCTGTTTAAGACTCATTTATATTTATTTATAGGTCACAAGTCCGGGACCCAAAATTAATGCCATTTTAAAACTCCAACAAGCAAGCTTTACTGCTCACATGCATTTCTTCTTATTTATTTATTTATTTTTTTTTGAAATTCCCCTATTTATGTGCAATTGGGCATTTACTAACGAAGTGTAAAATTGTTCTAAAAAAATCTTTAAATGATTTGGCATCTAACTTGAAATAAATAAATTCATAAAATCCCAAATTTTAACTCATTTAGTAGTTACAAGATGATAGGTAAATCGACTTGTTAAATGACATCCATACATCCAAAATGTGGATGTTCATATTATTAAACCTAAAACTTTAATTTCATATTCAATCTATACAATTATAAGTTCTCTTACTTTTAACTACTTGAATGACGTTACACTTTAAAAATTATCAATTTATTCACTATATACTCAATTAGAAAAATTATCTGTTTATATTAACACCTAATTAAGAGAATGTATAAAATTAACACGAAATTAAAATGTGTGTACAATATTGAGAATGTAAAAAAATAGTTTATAGCTGTAATAAGGTTAAAGTATAAAAAATAAGGTATAAAAAAAATAACATTCGAATATAATTAAAAAAGGTTTGGCTGTAGCACCTCACCTCACCTCACGTGAAGGTAACAAATTTAATGTTTGATAGCAGAAAAAAGGGGGAAAAAAAATTAGTGTTTGATAATAAATTATTTATTTTCCTTTTGCCCTTAAGCGGCAGTTAGCTATTCACATAGTTTTTTATTTTTTATTTTTGATCACATAAGATAAGACATGACCTCAAAAAATGGAATTTCTCAAAACAAAAAAATCATCCAAAATTTAAGAAACTAGAAGAGAGAGAAAGTGACTGACCAAACAGGAGTTGTGTTGGTGGGGTAAGACTTGTAATGGAGAGAGAGAGAGAGAGAGAGAGAGAGAGAGAGAGAGAGAGAGAGAGATGAGGCCATGAGGGTTGAGTTGCAGTACATAAATACAAGTATGATATATATATATATATATATATATGTTACATGATTGCAGCTGGCAAGAGCCCGCTGTATTAGACAGACAGGCTCCTTCCCTCTGCAACTGCAACCCCAATCCTTTGCCATCTCTCTCTCTCTGTCCCAATGCGCTTGCTTTTGAAGAACTGGTACAATCCCAACTAGGTTTTTGATTTATAGTCCTGGAAAGTGAAGGAAAAAGCGTGTGTGTTTGGACGGACGGAAAATGAGTGCTTCCAAGTTCATTAAGTGCGTCACTGTAGGCGACGGTGCAGTCGGCAAGACTTGCATGCTCATCTCCTACACCAGCAACACTTTCCCCATGGTAACCAAAAAAAAAAACTCTTTTTTTTTTTTTTTTTCCCCTTTTTTAACTTTCTCTCTGGTTTGTTTGGTTGCCGAGAAAAGTGGGGAAAGAGAAATCGATGAGAGAGAAAAGGGATATTTTGGTTTCTTTTAAGGTTTTCCGAAGATGGGTTGCTGCTCTTTCTCAATTTTCTTCTTGCAACCTCAAGTTTCTGTTCGGGAAACGAAGCTCCAATGAGCTAGAACGTAGTTCATTTGGCTCCTATCAATTCCGTTTTCGCTAAACTTTCTGTGTATAAATTGGTCAATGTGTTTCCATATACCATTCTTGAAGGAAAAAAAAAAAAGAGATTGCTTTGTTTGTCCTTGACTTAGTTTGTCAGCCAAAGTGAAGGACTTGAACGCAAACAATTTGGTTTCCGAGATAAAATGAGGAAGAGCCACCTTTTTTTTTTTTTTTGGGAAAATGAGAACCACCCTTTGTACTTAATTGAAATTATAATTTTTGAACTGAGAAATTCAAGATGTTAGAATTATTTATTGTTTTAGGACTTGCTTAACCTCTCTGTTTGCTGTTCAGAAATAGGATAAATGACGTTTAAAGTTTGTAATTTGTATTGCATGAGACAAGGTTGTAATTTCTACATCATCGATGGCCTCTGATCAATCTTTCCCAAAGAGGAAACTGCTTCTATGAGATGCGTTTTCCTTGTAGCATGTATTTTTGTGAACCGTTTCTGTCAAACCTATTATTTGCCTTGTAATGGACCCAGTAGTAGGCTTGAATTTACTAGTTTAAGTAATTGAGTTTACTTTTAACACTAAAAGGAGATGATCTTACACAGTTCTCTTTCTCTCTCTGATTTGTTTTTGGCTATTGTATTTTTGTTTTATGCTTGATTTGTTTCGTGTTATTTTTGGAAACAGGATTATGTGCCGACTGTATTTGATAATTTCAGTGCAAATGTGGTTGTGGATGGGAACACTGTTAATTTGGGTTTGTGGGATACTGCTGGTAAGTTATTAAGAACATTTATTTCCTGCGTAGAGTATTTGTTTTTCTTATTTCGTCGTGCGGGTTTTGATGTTATAAGTTATGGAGCAGGGCAGGAAGATTATAACAGATTACGACCGTTGAGCTACAGAGGAGCAGATGTCTTCCTACTTGCATTCTCTCTCATAAGCAAGGCCAGCTATGAAAACGTTGCCAAGAAAGTGAGACAAGTTTTTTCCATGTGGAAATTTCTTTCCCTGCGCTTATATTTCTAAGACGCCTTAGGTTTTTTTTTTTTTTTTTTTTTTTTTTTTTTTTTTTTTTTTTGTTGGGGGCGGTTGAGGCGCTGATAATATATTTCTCTCTTTCATTGTTTAGTGGATTCCTGAACTGAGGCACTATGCACCTGGTGTTCCAATAATTCTTGTTGGGACTAAGCTTGGTTAGACACTCTCTTTCGCTTGTTTCATTTTCTGTCCTTTGTATCAATTGATTGATTAATTTTGAATTTATAGCTTGCCTCCTCTATGATTGGCTATGTGCAATAGTCGGCTAGTCGCTTCCACCTTTCAAATGTTGTTTGGTTATTGATTGATGTAGTCATGTAGACCTCAGAAATTATAGGATATACCATTTCTTGAAGTTTGATTCCGATCCTTAACTTGTGTGTTATTTGTATCATCGTATTGTCCGCATCTAGTGTTAGTTTAGCTCAACTCTTAGGGCATGTTTACTTAACTGTAGTGGTATGTAATGCGAAAGGGAAGGATTTTAGAAAGGAAAAGAGGGTCATTAATTTCCTTTCTAATGTTTTTCGTTTAAATATTTTCCTGTTAGGAAGTGGAACTAGAAACAACCCAGATCTCTTTCTAGTGTTTACTTTGGAATAGGAATCCTAATAGTTCAAGGTACTCAAATGTCCTCGTGCATGTAATTGCCAGTCCAAATCTAGTAAGGCTACAAAATTAATTTTATAGTTTTTATTTCAACTCAAAGGGAAAACAAATCCCGGGTTAAATTAGGAATTGCCTTCTCTTTCTTTCATTTCCTACATTATGTGGCCCCAATCAAAATGCCACAAGGAAAGACATGAATAGGTGGGAAAGGGAACCATTCTTCCCTTTCACCCAATTCATGTTTAACTGATAAGTTAACGTACTTGCCGTGATATTGGAAATCTCGAATCATATTAGTGTTTTTTCTTGGCCTGGAATATCCAAATTAGTTACCTTTGAAAAAAAAAATTCTTAGTCACCTTTGTTAACAAATTCCTTTTTTATGCATCATCAAAGATTACTAGTTTTAATGAAAGCTGATTTTTCTTCTTCCAGATCTTCGGGATGATAAGCAGTTCTTTATAGATCACCCTGGTGCAGTACCAATTACCACAGCACAGGTAACGTCCAAGTTCACCAGTTTGTATTTCTTTAACTTTTTTATTTTTTCCTTCTGTTATGTTAATGATCAAGGTATTTCACTATATAGAGAGAAAACTAACCGTTTTTTCCTTTTTCATATAACTAAGGGGGAGGAACTGAAGAAGCTGATAGGCGCCCCGGTTTATATCGAATGTAGTTCAAAAACACAGCAGGTACGTAAGTTCTATTCGCATCATAGAAGATAAATTGCTATGTTCGATACCTGAGCGGCATATAACTTAATTGTTTATCCTTTGTGAATGCAGAACGTAAAAGCAGTGTTTGATGCAGCCATTAAAGTGGTTCTCCAGCCACCTAAGCATAAAAGGAAGAAGAAGAGAAAGACTCAAAGAGCCTGCTCCATTATGTGATTGTCCACAGACTATAAGCGGCAGGAAAAGGAAAGTGTGACCATTAACCTTTAAGCCATTAATCTTTCTTTGGTCACTGCATCTTCATGCAATACTTTCTCACCTCATGAAGGCAGCAATCTATGAGTTCACAAGCTTCAACTGACAGAACTAGGAACCTCTCTCTAATTAATGCATCAATATCTTTGTGCTCACTCCTTCTGATGTTGTATATTAATGATTCAAATATCTGTTGGTTGAAGTATACTCTGGGTTTAGATATATATATATATAGTCATAAATGTATCCACTATGAAATACCCAAATCTTTTCCTAGTTTAGGCTTGTTTTTGTAACCTCATTAAGTACACTGCAACTCTATGTATTGGTTTACAATATTGGCATCTTATAAATTAAAAAATTTGATGAAATGAAAAGGAAATAAAAAGCAAATTGGTGGTCAAAACTGACTTTGTGGAAGGCAAAACACAAATGAAAATGGTCAAGGAAAAAGGAGAAGAATATGGCAAAAAGTATCGACATTTTCCTTGTGGAAAGAATATTTCACTTGGGCTTCAACTTTCTGGAAGGAATTTGTAAAATCCTTGGCTCTTTTGTGTACCAGTCAACTTCAAAAATGTATCTAGATTCTCTTTCAGCCAACTGTTTTCAGCTAAGCACGAATATCTTTTCTTATGGGACATGGGCAGTAATTCCCCACTGGCAGCCAATATGAGCAGTTTCTGAGGAATCGATATTGATGGACCTTTTTGCTTCAGTTTGTAGCCGTGAAAAACTGAAAATGAAAACGGCCAATGCCTTTATAAAGAGTGGTTAAATTTGCCGTGATTTGATAGGAGACATAATTTCTTGGTTTTATGATAATGGAAAAGAGAATGCAATATCCCCATGGCACCGTCATTTTTAAATCTCTTTGATACTTTGATATTAGCCTTTTTCTTCAAATAAAAAAGGAAATTTTTTGGAATTTATTCTGTTCCCACTTTCAGCAGTCCAAAAAAATTCATGGATCTTTCCTTTCCACCTCTGGTTGCCAACACCCCCATTTACTTTAATTTATTTTTCTTTTTATAAATACACCATTCTCCTGCCAATTTTTGCAAGGTGCCCCCATTTTTGAGTTTTCCTCTCTTTTGAAAACCCAATATCCTTCTTCCTCTATCTCTCCTTCCTTTTAGCTTTGCAAAACTTCATCTCTGAAGAATTTTTGTTCTTGAATGGCTTCAAAGAGAATATCGAAAGAGCTCAAGGACTTGCAAAGAGATCCACCAACGTCATGCAGTGCAGGCAATAAACTTGAACCATATTAGTTTAGGAGATTTTCATAGTAGGGCTCGAAAAAATAAAGTGCTAGTAGATCTTTGTTTTCAATCTTCAGATCTGTATTAAAAATTGTTTGTTATATATGTTTTTTATTTATTTATTATAGTGTGATTTTAACAAAATCTAACGATCAGAAAATAGATCTACCGATAGGAAACCCTATCGTGAAAGGACCCGTTGAATTAAACACGCTTTTCAAATTATTGAGTCTTAGGTTTAAAGATCATAGACAATTGATTATTTTATGTTGTATATATATTTTCAGGCCCTGTGGCTGAGGACATGTTCCACTGGCAAGCAACTATCATCGGTCCAAACGACAGTCCCTATGCGGGTGGTGTTTTCCTTGTGACTATCCATTTTCCTCCTGATTATCCTTTCAAACCACCAAAGGTAGTCTCATCAGTCTACTTTTTCCTTGAACTGCAATACTCTTACAGCTAGTTAATTACATGAGGAAACAAATTGCTTTGTAGGTTGCGTTTAGGACAAAGGTATTCCATCCAAACATAAACAGCAATGGCAATATTTGCTTGGACATTCTCAAGGAACAATGGAGTCCCGCACTTACCATATCCAAGGTAATAATTTCTGTTATTAATCAATATATATACGGGTGTGATTTTTAATATATATATAAATATGTGTGTGTATGTGTATATGTATGTATCTATATATATATATATATTTGTGTATCCCTAAACCAAACCTCTATTAAATGGTTAGACGTCTTAGATATACATTTTTCAGGAACAACATACCTAAATTAATTTGTAATATATTTCTGATGTGAAATGCAAATACTTATTTATTGTATCCCTTGGAATAACATTGAGTTTGCTTAGTGAATTATGTGAACTTCTTGATCATACAATTTTGTCACACCACTCTTGAACATATTACAAACAATTAAAATGTTTGACTCATAAGTTGGACATTTTTAGGTTTTGCTATCCATATGTTCACTGCTGACAGACCCAAACCCAGATGACCCACTGGTTCCGGAGATTGCTCACATGTGCAAGGCTGACAAAATCAAATATGAATCAACTGCTCGAAGCTGGACCCAAAAGTATGCCATGGGCTAGGCCCAATAGCTCCTCCTCTATTTCTTGTCATGTTACTTTTTTTTTTTTTTTTTTTTTTTTTTTTTGG